CTCAGATACTTAGTATTTTATTAAATTTTATCTCTAGTTAATTTGTAAATAAATAAGAAATAAAGTTTACTCATTAATTGATACTTACTAAAACATATGTAATTTAGAAAAAGTATCAATTGACTAACTATAGCTTGTGATCTTTTATTATATTGTTGTTTATTAATTACGTATTATAAAGTCGATGTATAAATAAAGAGATAATTATACCAAATTAAAAACAAAAAAAAATCGTGCATGACTTGATTTCACGTGATCAAAGTAGGTAGACACCACTAGAGTATAATGTTGGCAATGTTAGTACTTTCTCACAGATTACACTGATATAATATCATATCGACATGTTTATATCTGCAAAGCAAACAATCTAAGTAGGTGACAGGTAGAAATAAAGAACTTCTCTATCGTATCGATATGATACGATACTGTAGTTAGTTCGCCGTTCGCGTGCTCTGTTGAGAGGGGTTGTGGCGTGTCCAAGTGGTGGGGTACGGACGTGTCGCCCTCCGGTCCACCCTCCATCAACGACACTCGACTCGATTTACAACGACTGTACTCGTTAGGCTGGCGCGACATCGTGCTTTGATACTCGCCTGCCTACTCTGCTAATCGAAGGGAAATGCAATGCATTAGTCAGCAACGATGCAATAATAACATTGCACATTATTGTTGATTTACTTTTTATACAGATATGGAATGTTAAAGTTCCATCTTATCTAGTTATATTATCGTAGATTTACTTCTAAATTCTAATATAGATATCAGTATGTATTGAAAGTAAATCGACGATTTTGTAGAAAATTAAAATTTGAGGTAGTGGTGGTAAAATCCTAACAAATCAGAATGGTAAATGGATATTTAATTATATAATAAACTAGCTACTGTCGGGCGGTTTTACCCGCTGCTCGGCTCCTACAGATCGTAGCGTGATGTTTTAGGAACGTTGTAGCTATCTATCAGTAAAATAATTTTGGAAATCCGTCCAGCGGTTCCAAAGATTACCCCCTACATACAAACTTACACACTTAAAAATTTTACCTCTTTATAATATTAGTATAGATTATCTACATATAAGTAACGTTATTGCTCTATCTTCAGCTCAGTTCTAGGTTTTATTACATACAGCCATTAAACCACAAAGGCCACAATTTATTTTAAGATGTTCACTATTATTCGAACTTATTTAAATGTAGGTATGTTACGTGAACAAGATGTAACAGCTAGTTGACGTAGTTAACTCGACCAGTTTCAAGCCACATAAGGGGCTCATAATTATTGTCGAACAATCTAGTCGTACCCAACAGTTACGCGAGTAAACCGTAAAACATAGTTAAGTAATTAATAACAATATAGTCCGTTGCTTAGTACTGTCTAGTAAGTAGTATAATTTTTTGAGGTCATAAGGATATGTTTATTTTAATCAAAGTTGTAGCCCTAACTTTGCTTACACCGTAGTCGTCACCCAAAATAACCTAAATGTCTACCACGCAGATGTTTACGCGAGCGAAAAAACTGCGTAGATAGATACACATATCCAGTCCTAAAATTCGTTCGGTCACAATTTGTACCTTCCTTATAATACTTAATTATAATAATCTTGTTTATTTGAAATCACCTTTGTAGGCGGTTACTTGAATGCCGTATATGGGGTTGCGAGTTTCAACGCCAAGCCTGTGAATTAGCAAGGCACTGGCCCCTTTTGACGCTAATGCTTATAGTTTATAATTATCAAATAGAAAGTAACGTAGTAAATAAAGTCTTAAAACACATTGTCAACTGTATAAAGCACGACCCTTTTTTTTGTGAGGAGAAAATCATGTCATTATGACTTCTCCCGCCCAGGGTCGAGCAAGAGGGAGTGCCAGACTCTTCCTTACTCCTGAAACCCCTAGTTCCTTCTCCTGCTCTGGGCCAAGGTCGCGGTGCCTCATTGCGCTTACCCCGCAACCCTGGCTGAAAGTTGGCTGAAAGCATGACACTTACGGTTGTTCCCAAATAAAATAACAATATTTATTTCTCTCATCCAACACAACAAATACATAGGTACATTTTCTTTTTACGTAACACTAATAGGTACTATCGAAACATGAGGTACCTAAGTAACGTAAGTTATGAAAAAAACTTAGGTAGGTATGATAGTTCTCAAAACTCTATCCCCTTATTACAAATTACGATTTATCTTTAGCCTAGGTTTAAACCACTGAGTCAGGTTTTGTACTTTGAATCTTATTCTCACCTACCTTCAATTGAAATACAAAAACTAGGTCAATGGATTAGACCTAGACTAAAGGAGTAAGTACCTTCTTTTGTAATAAGGACCTATGGTTTAGGATTTTTACGTACTTAGCTCATGGTTCTTGAATTAAACCAATGTGCATTAAAATTCACTTTACATAAGTTAGAAATGGTAGTTATAATTTTTTAGTCAAATCTCGGTCTAGTCTTAAATGCGATGACACGGCTCGAGGTGGTCTCGAGTTTATTTATTAGTTACCTATTTATATATTTATTTTTTACATTTTAAAAAAGGCTTACATTTATACAATGACTCTAATATTATCATGTTTGATACACGATTTGAAATTCTCAGTTGTTTGTAGCAGTCTGGCCATGTGTCCTATTATTACAAAATTGGGCTATAATTAGGTAGTAAAAAGTGTGAATCACATTCATATTTACTTTTTACCTCCAGAACTTAAAAAAGCTAAATATTACTTAAAAAAGTTAATACGTACGGTGTATAATACTTTGATGTTTGTTTCATTACAATGATTAGTCGATTATTTAATAGTCGAAGAATCGTTGTAGAGTTAACTAGCTATGCAAAGTTTAACTAACTAATTCACTATCCATTTGATGTAAAAGTCGAGGGGAGGTCGCTAGTTATTTCAGCAACTGTCGCAAAACCAATTGTTTCACAGATGTCTGAAGACACAGCTACAAAATGTTTCTCAATATTATATTTTATTTTATTTTAAATTAGGTAACTAAGTACTTGTACTCGTATTAACACATGAATGATAGATCATTTAGATATTGGATATTTATTGAGAAAATGCTATCGAGAGGTGTGGTGTGTTGTATGTCTTCGAATTATTATATCAATAAAATCAATTTAAAATATTCTGATACCAGAAAAAACGCTCAGAAAACTAATGCTATAACACGAAATGAATATACGATTTTCTGTGGTATAGGGCAGCTAACTAGCAGGCGGATTACCTGATGGTAAGCAAGTGGAGTACCGCACCAAGGACACCCGCTATTTCAGATGAGTTACAAGTTCTGGGGTTTAGCGAAATCTCTCGTAGTAATACTGAAATGAGGATAAGGTATTTACGATGAGCGAACGCTTAAATATTCAGTTTTTCAATGAGTCTATTTAGAGTCAAATTAAAAAGTCTGGGATAAATTACTCCCTGAGAAATAAGTTCCATAGTTGTGAAAGAAATTTTCCAGTCACTCCAGTGGCTTAGAAGCCTCAATCAAATATTTCCCCGAAGGCTTCAGTAGTTCCTAAGTACGTGTGTAAGTACGCAAAATTTCACTTATTAGAGATACATAAATATGGTATTATCAATAGTTATTTAGGTACTTAGTAGCTTTTTGTGAATCAATCCTGTGCAACGTCTAGTAGATACATGCAGATTATTACTTTTATTTTTCCAACGAGACAGATTCTTATTTTATGCCAAAAAATATAGTTATATTAAAAGAAGGTCAAAGTCAAAGCCAAATAAATCATTTAAATTTATTTAGAGCTGAGATGCTGTCGGTCGGTCCTCTAATGAAGCTATTTAGTGAAGGAACGTTGCACGTTCTAAAGTATAGATTCATATGGAGAAGAACGAGTAAGAAACTCCGGTTATTGGATCGGTTCCATTAAGTATGTGAAAATAGAAGAATCAGAAAAAGCAAATAACCTCAAGGGCAAGGCACATGTCTGTGTTGGTTGTTTTACTTAAAAATATAAGGTTATTTCACAAATGTCTTATTAAGTATTATGTTAGCGTAATTGACGGGTAATTGAGTATTCCGGAAATGTACCAATTATCAGTTACCTCATATCTGCAACTTAATAAGACCCTATAAAATGCATAATAAAGAACTCTAATACGTAATATTGAGGCCAAACTTCGTTTCTCTGATCTGGCTAACTACTCTAGAAAATGGACCGTGTCTAGGGAACACTCCGGTATTTACTTGGCCACACATAAGCAAGGTATAGCAATGTGGTACGATATGACCCAAAGGCAATACTTAATAGCAGAATAGTTGCAATAATCTAATCTGAGTCAGCGAAATAAGAAGTAATGCTCTTGATGTTAAATGCATGTTGTCATGTTGAAGGTAGGTAGTCAGTGTGCATCGCTGCTTGAGCGTATTTTTGTCAAAACATTAGATTCATGTATCAAGGTAACCTCAGTCTAGCAATAGAGGTCAGCTCTTAGATTCCTTTAGCACTGTTAACCAAAGTGTAATGTTCCAGATGGAAGAACTCGCCCAGCGAGTGACCAGCGGCACCCTGAGGTTGGGTGACACGCGTCACACGGTACAGAGTGCGTCTTATGAGTATGCATTTATCCGGTAAGTTAATAAATCCATTTCCTACCGGTTTTAATCTCGTTTTTCAATAGTGTTGCGTAATGTTCGTCGACATAAAAGAAAGAAAGAATTGTAATAATACAATGTCCGTTTTAGGTGACTCTTAAAAACACGTTCAACATAACGAAGTTGTGATTTTTAAGGATTTTCAGTGAGGTATAAGTAAATAGTTCCGAAAGTTCTAGTTAGTAAAACAAAACTGGTCCAATCTCAAAGTGTATTGTTACAATTTAAATATAATAAAAATGAAACACAGACAAGCTTCTTGTGAATTTATAAAAATAATTATTAACAAAAAACTAAACATTGTTAGCAATACAATACATATAAATAGGCGACGTACGTTTTTTTTATTATTACATACTAGTGTATTAAATAGTATTGTAACAAATACATTATGTTGTGGCATGGCTTGGACATTCACCAGGTTCGTCAAGTACTTTGGTCTGATACCCGTCTGAATCCACGCAGTAGTCGACGGATCCCGCGCTCTGCTTAGGGCTGTAGTTCCCGTTCGCTTGACAAGTTTCAGTCAATGTCATTCCACGCTCTGGGAAGAATATCATGTTGTCCCGTGCACAATCTGTTCCAATCATAGAAAAGTGATCACCAAGTTAAATAAGTTATACACGTTCTTTTGTTGCGTCTGACATGAAATCACAATCCATTAGATCACTTTGACAAATGACCCCATTTCGCAATTGTATTGTCAGAAGTATCGTATTCTCTTATGTTCAAGAAACAAATAATGAAGATTGGAATGGCAAGTCGAGAGGCTTGAATTTCAAGGTTTAGCTAATAATAAAATGGTTGTTCCACCGTTTCGGACTTCACGTTTATCGTCTAAGGTGTGGGTCACGGTCAATTAATTTCCCATAACTGTCGCTAGTCCAATATTAAAGAATTTGAAATTTACCTAACTATAATGTTTTATGCTAAGATAACTATCAATGATTCCACCTATTGAGAATGAGTATTGAAATGAAGTAGATCTTTGGAGCTTATTGCGATGTCATAGACATATTGACCAATTCTGCCAGGGAGCAACTTTTGTTGAATTAATTGGTGAAGTATGTTAGTCTCCGCATTCCAGCTGAATGGTAGGATGGGTGGAACCGTACGAAGTATCGGGAACAGGGTCACGGCCGACAACCGGTCGTAGTGGCACAATGCGAATAAGCCATACTAACGGTACGCTGATGCCCTCCAGCCTATCTTGTTTTATGCGCATGTAGTAAACAACATATTATGCAAATTATACCAATAAGAATGCTACTATTTTAGAAGAATAGGAAATTATACAGAACTAATTTATATCAAACTGTTATTGAGAATATGTTCAGACTGTGTATTATAAACTACCTCAGTGACGTGATGACTCCGTCGGTATTTGAATTAGTTTATAAGTAGATAATTTAGATCTAGTTCAAGCGAAAGTGTGTCGCATTCTTTCCTTTATAATAATGGATTGATTTTAGAATACCAGTTTAAAAATATTTTAAGTTTGGTATCTACTAACAGCACCCACAAACCCGAGTTACGACATTACTAACTGGACTTCCTTGAGTTATTAAAGTTCTATTTAGTATTGGGTCATATACTTAGTCTTATGCCCATTGGAATAATTTATATTCAAAAATGTTTATGCTGATATTACCTACTTGAATGCTGGCTTTGGATAGCTAAGTGATCCAAGAAAGTGAAATGCTTGCATCTTTGGACAAAATTATGATAACAACTATAATTTTAAATTGTAATACTCACTGCAATTCATTCCTTGCATAGTATTTACTGGTGTCTGCCAGGCTCCTAATATTTTGCCGTCTCGACCGGTGCAATAGGCTCTGAAACATTTGTTATACTATTACATTTTTAAAGCGTTGGAATAGTTATTATGATAGGTAATAAACTTAATTTTAATTATAATTAAATAATTTATTGACATTAAAGATATCTTACATGCCATTCAAAATTTGAATAGGTCCGTAACTTCCGTCGTAATCACAAGTTGAGGCAAGATTACCAAGGTAATTTGTTCCATGTGTTGTCTGTTCATACCGGATGAAGCCATTGGCTATAGATAAACTTTCGCATTTCCTTAAATATTGCTCTCCAATAACTGCTGCACTGTCTGTAATTTTAAATAGAGACAAACTAGATCAGTACTTGACACGTTATAGTAGAATATTCAAATATTTTTATGGCGATCGATGTTATTCCAAAGCAGGGTGGTTGCCCTCTAAAGTAATGACGTCACTGTAGACATATGCCCGAGCCGGTCCCACCCACCTGAATTTATTACCTACGTGCATAAATATTGCACTACGCGCAAAAGTCGATTGTTTGAAACCAGGTCACTTTCTAGTTGATATTTCAAAGGAATCTAACACAAGTCATAATAGTATGGCGTAATATAACCAAGTTATAGTTATTATTTATACTTTCCTAATAAATAACGTTGCCATAAAGAAACCTAAAACCTTGTGGATCCTGGTTAGAACGTCGAAGTAGGGAAAGGCTTAGCAGAACTATGTAGACATTACTATTATTCTCAATAGAAAAATTTAAACAAATGACTTTGTTTCATGCAGCATATTTGAACAAGTGTATCTGGGTTCTTTGTCAAACTGATTGTGTACAATTGCCTTTGGTCACTCAATAATATCTTCAGACCGTGAATCACTTGTGAATATTGTGTGTATCCTGTTGTTGCATCTCGTTGGCAAGCAAATGATGTACAACAGTGGCGGAATCATTTGGATTTCATATTTCATGTCTTATTGTAGGAAAAAAAGGCACTAGTATTGGTAATTTGCTTATCATCGTATTAGAAAAAAAAGTATTATTAAAATTTAGACCGACAAACTTTTACATACTTAATTCAAACTAAAATTTTAGGGTCAGATATGAATATCTACATACAGCATGGAAGGCGTTCCATATCTTCCTCGTGGACAGGTGTGACGATTGGCTGTCCATCTCTGGCCTGTGCACACCAGCACATTCCACTATTGCATTGCAGTTGTTCGTAATCACCATTTGCTGAACAATGAAGTGTCACGACCTTGCCTTCTGCTTCCAGTTCAGCTCTTCTACGACTGCACGCTGAAATCAGTAGAGCATTTAATTACTAAACGATAAAAACCTCTTTTCCTTTAAAACCTCTTTACTATGTTAACCTATTTGCATTGAATGTAATAAAATCATTTAAAAAATAAAATATAGGCAAACTGTCAAGTTTACACACGATGTTTTGACGTTATGTACCTATATATGTTAATATAAGCATAAAATTATTGTTTATTTATGTGAAACAATTAACGAAATTTCGCTAAGTATTTAAATCTATTGTCATAAGTGAAATCAGTAATTGATTATTTGCTATTCCCAAGTAACATCGTGTAAATGATGAAACTTGGTATTTTTGAAATGTTAGAAAATGCAAGACTCGGTGATTAGCGGAGCTCTTGCATATATTAATCACTTTAACATGTACAAGTTTCCGGTTAGTTCCAATATTTTTTAGTTGGTAGCTAGCTTAGAGTAATTACCACAGGTCATATTCTGCGCCTGATCCCTCCACATTTGTCCAAATATTCTTCTACCTTTGGGGTCCGAACAGAAACACCTGAAAAAGCAACAAAAACACAAACAATTATAAATTTATGTCTAACCTACCTAAGGCGTAATTATTAATAAAAATGTTATCGTTATTCAAATAGAAAAGCAATTTATTGATAATATCTCTTGGAATTCTAAGAATACTTTTTAAACGGATGCCTGTCGATAGAACTCATGTGACTGAATCTTCAACGTTATTCTAACTGGATAATCAGCAGGTATATCTTATGTTTTTGAAGCAGCACACTATTAATAAGGCGATTTGTGATATAAGGTCAATACCTGCCCGTAAATCGATCGCCCTTGCATTGAACCGGCGCATATCGTCCATCAGGCAAACAGTTGGAAACATTTGGATCGCAGCCTTGTGTTTGTGGATCATCTGAAAATTGTAATTGTAACAACATTTGACTAGTGTAGTAGGGGTCATCCTATCGCCAAAAATGAGTTTTTTTTAGACAAAGCGAATAAATGTGGATGTAGAACAGCGAAGTGTCTTCATTGGCAATGTTTATTAAATCCACCTTACAATTTTCTTTAAAAAGAACCTTCTCTTTCTTGATTGAATCACTAAAATACATTCCTAGATAACATGCAGTCTCCGGAAGAGTGGCAAGTAGCCGGTCGTGCCAGTAAAGTGGAAAATTGACAAATTACCAAATTTGAGAGAATTTATTCATAGACATATGACAATACAGCTTTTGGTTCTACCGATATATTCGGAATTTCGGATTTAAGCTAGGTACCAAGTTCCTACCATGTATGAGTGATAAGTAGGTACCTACCTAAATATTTTTGAAGTAAACCTAATACGTCACGTCTAAGTATGTAATTGTTTGGCAATTGGCACAAATGTTAGTTAATCGAAGACCAACATCCGGAAATTTTCTCTAAGGTAATAAGTTCTTTCCCGGAGACTGCGGTCGGCGATCGCAATGACTAGATCGAATAACAAATAGCTTAACATCCGTCAGGTCGGGTTGTGTGAAATATGATGCAATTATTATGCATACGGTTTTTTTACTGTCGTAAGCTAATTTCATAGTGAAAATGAATACATTTTTATAATGATACGTTTAATAATGATAGCTCACCTTCAGTAGATTGTTTGCATGAGGGACAACACCCATGAACTATAGAATTTGGGATCAATTGTTCGATACCAAAGCAGTCGCTTGCACTTATATCAGTTACACATACTTGTGCTATTTCACATTGCGTATTCACTCGAAGAATATTGTAACAAAACAGCAACAACCAAAATAAATTACTTCGAGACATGTTGAATCTGACACATCTAATAAAATAATTTTCTTCAGTGAATTTGTGCGCAAACAATAACTATGAAGTATACATTAATTGCTGATTGAACGGTTATCTGTGTTATCTTTTTATCACGGACATCTTATCGCATATTATTTCAGGTCATATCAGAAATGTGTGTGATTCACTCGTGAGATAAGCGCTACATATTTCTGTGGTATTTTAATGTACATAGTATTTATTTTATAAGAAAGGGAAGGTAGCATTTGCGAATTATTATGCTGTTTATAGTTTGGCATTTAGACAAAGAAATTACTTACTCGCATATAATGCACATTATCTCTCTCCGTAGTGTGTATCAGTAAACACCGAAATATTAGATTTGAGCGTTTAAATAAGAATACGCTGTTATCAGCGCTATCGCTATCTCAAGTTAATTTAACGTAGAGAATAATCAAGCCAACCTGGGCTCGGAGTCTTCGTCGCGAGTCGCGCGTCCGTGCTCGTTCCGAGCGCTAACTACTTGCGCCAGTACACATTTTGCATCGCGCCTATCTCATTCTACTTTATAGACATCGTGTCTTTGATCTATTTTTCAATGGATCAACAATTGATACCGATTGTTTCCTCTTGCAGGTCGGATTAAAACGGGCATACCCGGCTAGTATGGAGGATAGCAAGAAAAGACATTCCGGCACTAAAGTTTCAAAGATTGCGAATATATTTCAAGGGATGCCGTCAAGAGAGGAAGACGAAGTTCGCGGTAGCGACGTTACAGGCGTCCGAACCGAAAGTCATTTGGCACGGTTTAACAATGCACGTGCGCTTTTTGAAAAATTGGGTGAAGAAAATCGTGGATTTCGTATTGAGAAATCACCTTCAGCGGCTGCTAGTTTTGCAGGGACCCGTGGAGTAACTCCACCAGCGAGGTCTCGCTCCAGTTCTGCAGGCTCTGTTAGCCCGCCTAGACGAATTGTGACGCCAACGCCGATGCCACCACCTGCTGTTAATGGTGATCGTCTAGCAAATGGTGCAAACGCACCACCTCCAAAACCTGTGAAGCCGAGTGTTTTACCGAAACCTGAAAAACCAGACAGAAGGTTTAACAAGGAGCTCATAGAAAAACAGAGAAATTGGACTGCTCATTTTAATAAATCTCGCCAATCTCGAAATGATGAACCTAAAGTGGATTCTAATAAATATTGCAGTAATTATCAAGACAGGAAGTCGCCAGACGCCCATGAAAGATATGTAGTTCCTTCACGTGTTTACTCTCCACCACTTTCACCTTGCGCTGGTGATACCCAATTAGAACGTCCCACTACTCTTCCTTCTTCATTATTAAATCGAGTCACTTCTACCACAAAAACTCCGAGCCCTATAAAAATTATTACACCTGTGTCCCCACGGGCTAATAATTCAGTGTCACCTATACCAAGGCCCGAATCTTCAGTTTCACCGCCAGTGCGAAGAGAACGTGTAAAGTCACCAAGTAAAACCAAATCTGATTTGGCATCTCAAATTAATACCTCCAGTGAAAAGAGTCATCCTAGTGCTAGATCGTCGTTTTCCCCTCCAAGTGATGATGAAAGAAGTGAAAATAAGGAAAATAACGATTTTCCAATACATAAATCGAGTGAACAAATACAATATAGTGAACAAATGCCGTATACTGAAAGAGTTTCCCCTACGCCACCAGTTTCGGTTCCGCGAAAGCAAAAATCACCATCACCTTCGGCAAGGTCACCAAAATCTCCAGTCTCGCCACTATACTATGAAAAAGATAGTTTACCTTCCGCTGAACGTGAATCTTCTGTGTCACCAGTGGCCATAAATCCAATTGAAACTCCATCGCCTGATAATGTTGTCGATGGAGCTCCCACTGATGGAAATTCGCCTAGTGTTACATCTCATGATTCGCCTGTGCTGTCAAACTCTGACGATAATAACACGAAAAATATTAGCGAACGTGTATCTCCGACACCTATAAGTCCCGTAACTTTAGACAATGGCTCAAGATCATCGAAAATATTGGATGAAGATGTATATGAGTCTGTAGACTATAGTGGAGAATGGGAAGAAAAATCCAGACGGCGTTCATCAACGCCTGAATCTCCTACATGTCCTGTAAAGATTGATGAAGCACCGCGCTCTCCATTAGTGTCACCGCTAGCGTCCCCGGTACATCGTATTGCGGAGTCCTCGCCTCCTTCACTTCAAGCTTCACCCTCGCCTGGTATGTCATTTTTCTATCTTTTATTTTCATAGACTTATTATCTTTATTTTGTTATACCATATTATCTTGCCTTTTTATCTCTACTATAAGAATATTGTTATTGACGTGTAAAGTAGGCACTTTGTACTTACCTGTTTTGCGTACGTATTTAGTTATTGATAAATAATATTTTTCTAAAAATATGGAAATTATGGATTTCTAGATTTTCGAGGCATAATACCTTTGTATACTTTTTGGCTTTTTATCTGCCTTTTGGGTTAACAAGAGAAATCGTGGTTTATGCGGATATACCATATCCAAGGCCATCAGATTAATGTAAAGATGACCAAACACTTTAATACCCCATTTTACTTGAACAGGGTTGGGAATAAAAATCATACGAAGCAGAAAAGTAGGCGTCGATTGACGTACGTTTGGCGGTCTTGTGTTCTGTGGGTTCAATGTAATATTGAGGAAGTCAAGGTATTTGAGTCGTTGCGAGACTTGCGAGTCGATCCCGATTTAGATGCTCCGGCGCCGCCGCCGCCTCCGTCGTCGCGACGCAGTAACCCGAGCGACGTCGCCCAGCGCGCTCCCCTTCATACACTACACTATTATACACTTTACCGTCCCCGTTTTGACAATTGATTGCTGTCTTAAAACTCTATAAGCCATCTATATTGAAATATAGATCAAGTCAATTACTTACAAAAAAGTGTGTGCTCCTTTCATGCTCCTTCCTGCGTGATCAAACAAGTAAAAGCTCCATTGTAAAACAGTGACTATTTGTGACTAGAATTTAAACAACAGTGTATTCGTCGATATTTACGTAGAAACGCTTATTCAGTTCGCGATAAACTTTACGCAGAAAGTTCATATCGTCTCTTTAGCGTTTTATAAACTCTGTTGTTGTAAGCTCTTACTCGTTTTGTTTTTAAATTGTTTCGGTCCAACCCGATGCTTTTGCTCCTACGTTGAATATTACATTCATTGAGCAACGTTTCGGACTTGATAAAATATTAAATACAAAAGATGTGCCGTTCCGTTAGTAAAAACTCAGGCTATTTCGTTACTCGAACAATTTTTATGCTATTATATTGTTGTTTTTTATGTTGACCTTCAAATTATTAACCTAAGCTGCCTACGCTATCAAAAACTAAAATTTATTTCTAACGAGTCGTGTAAACTTAGTATGTTGCCAACTTGGTTATCTGCGGCTGTGTTTGTTTACAAAGCGCTCAGGTACAGACAGGCATTTGACAACATTTCAGTCGTAATCTTTTATTATGGAGTTGCTCACTAGTGTTACAAAGGCAACGTAGCTGAAATTAGCTGGAGTTCATCAGAGTGAAAAATAGATAGACTTTACTCTTTTCGTTAAAAGCAAAATTAAGATTCGCGTGTGCTTCAATAGAAGTTAGTATAAGTTTAGCAAAATACGTCGATTGGAAGTGAATGTCCACGTGAGGGTGGTCGGTGTTGGTGGAGGCACGGGACGCCGGCGGCGATGGCGCGGTGATGCGGCTGGTGTCGCGCGTGCCCGTCGCATGCGCACGCTCAACATGCGCCTCTGCGGCTGTTGCCTCGGTCAGTTGCTTTATTATTGTTTTACTTTGCTTACAAACGAGATTATTTGGGTCGCCTTACAATCACGGTTTATTGAAGCAACTAATCTTAATTCTTAAGTTTTAAATTGCCACTACAATAATTTCTTACCCAATTATTTTTCTGCATACCTATATCTATTAATTTGACTCCCAATTGATGGGCAAAGAATGATGATGATTTCCATTACCATTTTTATAGGAAAACACTAGGATGCGGTTTGTTTTCAAAATAGTAAATTAAACAGACAAATCTACTACACTGGCTATGAATATAGATTTTAAAGAATCTGTCAATCGGTACCTATTGGTTTCACTGATAACTGTCGCTTGTTTTCATTTGTGTATGTCTATATTACTCTGTATCCATATCTAGGTATGTAGTTTCGTTACAGTAACCAAACTCCATAGCCTCATACTACGTACCTTGTCAATTTGTTCTTACCGTATCTAAAGATACATGGACACAAACTGAAGATACTCTATTACTTACTGATATTACGTAGGTATAACAGTATAACGTACCTAAGTACCTATAAAGTTCAAATGCCCCTGCTAACGTTGCAGAACCTAGAGTAGACGTGAAGTACCCTCAACTTCCTCTTGAAGCCGACAATTTCGCAACGTGTTCATTTTCACACGTGTTTCATTAAACGAACAAAAAATGTAATTACTCTTCATTTTGTGTATTAAATAGTACTTTCAATGACCTAATTATTGAAAATAATTTGTGTGTGGTCTCATAAAACATAAACTCCCATGCACCATTTATGGGAATTTCATGAAAACTAAAGATTAATAGAATACTAATTAACTGGTTTAGTGAAAACCTAAACAAGACGTGTTAGTTTGTCTATCATCTTATCGTCATGCCTCTTGCACACATCTATCAAGTAATATCATAAAAAGTATGAATAAAAATAAAAAGATACAGGGACATCTTTTGCAGCTGCACTGTTTTAATTTGTCATAATTATAATTACTATACCACTAACAAAGAAAACCTTTGGGTAGGATAGACGACTCAGACTACTAGAAAAATTACCATAATGTGTCGCAGATATCTTAATTACTTATCTGCCATATAAATCACAGTAAATTATGAATTTACAATGTTCGCGTGGCCGCGTGGGTATCCACTTCACATCTTGACGCATTAGTTGAAAATGATCGGGCCTTTTTTGGAAAGTCGCCTTCGTATTCACCACAAACCCACCGATTTGTATGTACCTCAGCTGTACAAGGTTAAGTTTTATGTGTTCCTGTTTGAAACGGAGCTAATATCCGACGATTTCATTAAAATCATGATTCATTAACAAATTCATTCAACAATAAAGTATATGGTTTTGATTAAAAATTATCCACGTGAAAATTACTTTCGTGAATACTCTTCTGCTTTCTTGATTCGATAGTTTGGAGTTAGCACATTATAAAAGTATAGTTTCCTGCTAAAAATAGATATTGGGATTTTGTCTTAATGATATTCTATTTATAATAATTTTTATTTTTAGTTTACCCTCTTTTGTCACCAGAATTTGTCTTCAAACGGCATTTAAAGTGGCCGCATTCTTGAATATGAGAAACGAAGCGCTAGCGGTATTTAGCAGTTTCATATAGGTCCATCTGAATATACATATGAGACCATACAAGTATAGCAGAGTTTTAATTAGTAAAGTGGGCATGACTCGCTCTCGTTGTCTCGGGAGATCGCGTGATCGTTCTAACGGTTTACTGCAAATTCATGCGTTACATAGATTACTATAACTGCTGAATGGTCAGTCAACGTTTTTCATAAAATATTTTATGAGAATATGCCTCAATATAATCATCGCAAGATCTAGAAATGAAAGTGTTAGCCGCACATGAAAACTGTAAACAAATAAATTCCATGATTCGTATATGTTTTTAGTATCTACTGCGCACGATCAAATTTATTAATTTTATAAGTACTGTGAAATAGTTACTAGCTATCTAGTTGTTATTTATTCATCGTAAGCATTTCTACTATACAACAGACCATCAACAATGTACAATGTATATTCGTTCCACGTATCCAAAACATTAGGTTTTTTTTGTGTCTGGAATCAATGTCATTTGTGAGTCAAACAAGGGCGTTTAATAAAATCGTGTCTTTTTATAAATATCCGCATATACGTATGTACGTAGGTACTTCATATAACCAAAATTGCGGTTTGGTTTTGCGTTGAAGTAACGTGTACCAAACGATTGAATGTTTGTTTATATTGGGCACCTGTATGTATACTCAGCACCTGCCCGAGCTACGGAAGTAGAGTATCTACGTTAAAAATAGTTTGCTCATTAGCCTAAATTTACTCCGTACTCGCTCCGAAGAATATACATATTTTACTGGTTTCCATTGAGGTCAATTTTGCAGAATTAACTTCCTTCATGTATTCGAACTTTTAACGAATCAGTGGGCAAATGAAAAATAAACAGCCATTAAAAACGATTCTGTGTTTGGGGATATTGAAGTTAAACTATCTAAGAATTACGTTATTTCAAATGATTACAGCATTTTTTTTGGAAACATTGTTACTTGAACTTTCTAGTACATTCAGTACTTAATTAAGATCCACACGAATGCTACTACGTTTTAGATAATTTGAACAGTCACCAATATACTTCACGTGTTGCGGGTTCGATTCCCGCACGGAACAACTCTTTGTGTGATCCACAAATTGTTGTTCCGGGTCTGGGTGTCTTGTGTATGTGAAATTGTATGTTTGTAACAGCACCCACGACACAGGAGAAAATCCGAGTTTGGGGCAACGTTTTATATTTTTTTATTATATATACTTTGATCGACGCCGCCTTGTGTCATAATATTTGTAATTATAATTTCGTAAAGAATTGTACTAGATATACAGGTCATAAATAAATGAGTAATCCTACTTATTCACCAAGAAAATCTTCAATAAATTAACATCACATTATTAGCGGGCGGAGGTCGCAAGTCGTCCGAGGCGGAAGAAATACCGCGGCGGAGTGGATCTCGGGCGTCCAGCGTGTCAGACGAGGGAGGTTTCAACGAGCCTTCGCCAGAGGTGGTGGCGCGGTTACGACCTGCAGACTATCGAGAGCCGCCTCCACCCGCACCTCCTCTCACCAAAGACATACGCGATGCAGAGCGCGCGCGATCAGATCCTGACACCCTCTCCGTACTCCAGCAGGTACATCAATCTCTCTGAACTACCAAATTGTAACTGTAAAGCCGAAATTCTTCTTTCCATCGATATATTGAAAGGACTATCTCTAAACTTGTGACTCGAAACTCCGGAACAACAGATTTATCTGCAGCAGTACATAATACAATAAATAGACATCCATTCATTGCGTTGAATTGGTTAGATAGAAGAACTATTGTGAAATGTGGACCAGATACCCTACCCAATTCAATAGTATGTTTCCTCACGAAAGCCAGATAATTTAAATCACTGGCATATTCGCTTATGTACAATAGAAACTGCTACTTATTTGAAGTCAGTAATATCAGATTAAACTTCACTTGTATCACTTAAATGGTTATATATTTTCTGCGGGAGTGCAATAGTTATAATTTTTCTTCCCAAATTTTACAACTCGGAACTTGATTATAGGGTTTTAAACCCCAATTGCAGGACTCCGGCGTGGTAGTGAGTGAAGCGAGCCAAGGCTCCATAGAGGTGCTCGACAAGTCGACCACCAGCCAATGGAGCGTGTCGGAGGGCGAGAATGCGTCTGGGGAGAGCGGGCGCGGGGGAGATGCTGCCGACGCTCGTTGGGACGACGCCGACGGCGACTCCAAGCAACCCGACAGCATGACTCCCGACGAGGCCGAGATACTACTCAGCTCGAGGTGACCATCTACTGTGTTGTTTGATGTTGCACTGGCCTAAGTCTGTATGGTCATATCTTCAATTTACACGCTGTGGGCTAAGCCAGGACACCACATTTTTCGTAAGGCACCGGGCTTTGAGACACACAATAAGATAGTTGTTAGATATGATATCTTTCTTCCCTAAGATAGTTATTTTTCTTCTAGAATTGTCGGAAGAAAGACTGTCCTTAATCAAGGTCTTCAGATAACTGAGCCCGTACAAACGTGTAACTTTGGAGATAACCAAAGAAATAGAAATACGGATACAAAGTTTAAAAAGTATTGCATTTGATTCTAATTCAGCTAAGTAGATTGAGAGTATGTACGTTATTGTAGTTAGTTGCATAATAAGGCATCACATCGATTCTGTTTTATTACTTTATCTGAGGCACGTACGCTATGCGGAACTAAGTAACTGTTTAATATTCGTCACACCTTTCTTCCTCGATGTAATCGTGCTATTCATCAATGTTTACTTTCTGGTTCATTTTAATTCTTATTGGTAGTACGTGTGGTATATCTGAAATTTCTGTCTCGAATGCATGGTTCCACGCACTTGTAATGTCTGTACCAAAGTCGCGCTCTGTATTTATAATTTCTTTATTTATGTATCTTAATTCTACACAATGTTGTTAAATGCGCTATTCTGTATTTTCTTTTTTCAGGACTTGTATGTTGTTAGCTTAGTATATTATTTAATGTCGTATTTTTATCATTTGCATGCTGCCTGTCCGAACAACGCTTCATTATTGCCTGATATTTGCAGTATTCTGGAGAAAAAACTTAGGTAAGCTCGGGGCATATGTGCAACCGTCGTTATCTTCTACTATGTAGTATTTGTAGAATGCTTACTGAATGTGCTCCTCTTTACTCTTTACTTGTATTTTAGTTCACATATTTCACTAGATATAAGTATAATACAGGATATAGTACGATTACTTTTTATAATTCACAGTACTTCACACAATAATTGATTAAGCTTGTTCTAGTAGTTTGAACTAGCGAAAGCAAGCATAAATGTAATATTTCCTTTAACACAAATATAATAATTATTGTTACGTTTAGCAGACACGCTCATTTTCTAGGTATAGCAATTCTAACGAGACTTAATAAAATGCAATTTTCACCGAGAGTTTAATTTTACGCTTTAAAGACATCGGGGAATCGTGTGGTTCGGGTGAAAGCGCGACATGTAAAACACAATATGAAGCATATGCATCAACAGATATTTGCCAGAATTACTACTTATTGCAATAATAAATAATATTATGTTGATTCTATACAATTACAATTGAATAATTATGTTTGCTTTCTTTCCCCTGGACCTTTATACAATTAGTTTTAGACTAAAGATAACCGGCAGAATTTCAACGTGTATCATGGAGCGGCATTTCAACATTTATCATTTCTGTCTGCCACAGAAAATTTGCTAGGACTGATACCAAAATTTGATATGACTTGCTATCGAATTTAAGCAAAAACAGAAGTGAAGTGAAATTCTGCAATATGATACTAAAGTTCTAAGGCATATTTGATCTCGTTAGTAGTCGTTACTTACCTAGTAAATGAAGCTATTTTATGTAAGTAGTGGTGTAAGTAGCTAGGTAACATGTGGATGTGTTGTATAGACAAGAAGCGCTGCTGTCGGACGAGCAGGCGCAGGAGATCGTCGCCATGTTGTCGCCGCATGCGCTGCCTCACGACAATGGCGTCTCCCTCAACGACAGCTACCAGTCTGTGCTCTCGTACGAGAGGTAATTTCTTTACATTCTAGCTATATTCCATGTATAACACTTGAACAGTTTAAATGGTCCGCTACGGCAAAATTGGTGCTGCAATATTTGTCTCATGCCTTGGAATCAAAATAATTATAATGAGCACATCTTGTTATGAAGCACGGCGGTTGAGATTGCATCTGGTATTTTACTGTTATTTTTCTTATAAGTTTTGACACATTCTCAACCACTTGTACTAAATAGAAGCTGAAAGAGCTTGTATGAATCATGGTAGGTACATACAGAAACTTGATTAAACTTATGTATTTAATATAACGAAACGCAAATAAATTGCAGCATGCAGTCAGTGGACGAGAGCTACGAGTTTGTGTCGTTGGAGGCGGACTCTGGTCTGGCAGGCGGGGACCGGCGGGCGCCAGCCGAGCCGGCGGAGGCGGGCGACGCGGCGGACGCAGAGCCCGGCACCGTGTTCGACTACTACCCGCCGCACCAGCTGCGCGAGCTCGGCGAGGAGAACGGCATACACTACTTCGAAGATGGACACTTCTATACTGAGGTATTCTACACACAGTCCTACCTAATGAGGGGATTGCACACAACTTAGCTTCCAGGCCTGCGAATGTTGTCGCTTGCTGTTGTTAAATTGTCATTTTAACGGTCAATATACGCCTCACGGTTAAAATTGAGCAGTAGACTGTTTAAAGATGTGTATTAATTACGATACACACACTTCTATGTATTGTTGTTGATTACGGTTGTATAATGTTAGTTCGCTATTTCATGGCTTAAACTTGCCCCTCTGGTGAGAAGTGAAATCAATATTTTTTTATGACATGTGAACATGTATTTGAGGAGAAATATATATACCTAACACTCTGAACGAGATCAATTATGATATGACATCTTCCGATTTAGAACATTGATAACATTTTAAGTATACGACTAGTTTTATTATCATCCATTAACTTAAATCGATAAACTTTTCTGGTAACTCATTCTGATAATATTGATAATATTACAGGTTGCCGGACTTCCGCCTATTGAAGAAGATGAAGACGAAGATTATTACCCACCAGTATTTGTGAAGAAAAATACCAAAGTTAAATTCAGGTAAGTGCTTAGTAGAAAGTACAATGTATTATTAACTTTATAAACGTTGGTATGTATGTGGTTTGAGGATTTTCTCCTGTGTCGTGGGGGTTTACAAACACAATTTTCATAGACGTCAAACTTAGACCGGAAACAACTATTTGTGGATTGGATGACGCACAGTGCTATTCCCCTTGCACGGCAGTGGGTTGCCCAGCCACCGCGTCAACCGTGCAGTCAATGTCGTCAACATTGGAAAACTTATTCAATCTAAATATTTAAGTTCTATAAGGCTCGACTAAGATGTTATACGAAAAGCTGTCTTGCTTTCGCCTTTTTCTAAGCATTACGTTTCCAATTTCAGTACGAATCCAATGCGCGTGTTTTCGACGCACTCGGTGCGCGAGTACGACAGGCGCAACGAGGACGTTGACCCCGTGGCCGCCAGCGCCGAGTACGAGCTGGAGAAACGCGTCGAGAAGATGCACGTCTTCCCCGTAGACCTAGTCAAGGGGGCAGACGGACTTGGGCTCTCCATTATAGGTAACTAACCTTAGTACAAAGAAGTCAAAGCGTTGATTTCAGGTCATGCACTTACAGGCACTTTTGAAATGTAAAGTAGATTAGTCTGCCTGTTAATGAAACTAGACACTCACTCCGAAATGTACATTTTTATGGAAAAAGATCCCACATCCTACTGATATTATAAATGTGAAAGTTTGTGACAATGAATGGATGTATGTTTTGTTATTCTTTCGCGCAAAATCGACTGGAACGATTGATACACTAAATTAACACAAGCTTCTTTTTAAAAGCCGCTGCCTGTCTATCTGTGAAAGAAAATAAATATAAAGTAATCATACTTAATCAAGTGAAAATATTATCGAATCCAAATATTGCAAAACATAATTCTTTACAGGTATGGGTGTTGGCGCCGACGCTGGATTGGAGAAGTTAGGGATATTCGTGAAGACTATAACCGAAAGTGGCGCCGCCGCTCGGGACGGACGGATTCAAGTCAACGACCAAATTATTGAGGTCGATGGTAAAAGCTTGGTGAGTACACTACACCGTTAACATTTTTTTTTTGTATAAGTACACAGTAACATTGCGATATTTAAAAATAATTACCTACATTTGAAAAAAAAAATTTTATGTGATAGGACGGCAAACGATCTTACTAATTACTAGATGGCTAAGAGAAGCAATCAGCGCCGCCTATGGACACCCATGGACGCAACAACGTAAGAGTTACGAGTGTGTTACCGACCTTTTGGGGATTAGGGATTTGGAGATTTTGGGATTGGGGAGGGGAAAGATTGAGCCTCCAGTAACCTCACTCACACGGCGAAACACAGTGCTGCGGTTGTTTGACGCCGATTATCTGTGAGAGGCAGTGGCATCACTACGGTTGAGCCGACCCATTCGTGCCGAAGCATCGCTTTCCCACACTTAAATATAAATGGATAATAGTACCCGCGCGGTTGTGTCGATTTGTTGATATACACATGCATAATCTACATATAAAAATAGGAGTCATCTTATACACCTATGTATTGTGTTGATATCAAACGCTAAAATTTTACATTACGTGTATTTCTAGGTGGGTGTGACTCAAGCATATGCCGCGTCTGTACTGCGAAACACTTCTGGGCCTGTGAAGTTCCTCATTGGACGTGAAAAGGACCCTGAAAATAGTGAAGTAGCACATCTCATTAGACAGTCACTTGCTGCAGATAAGGAGAGAGAGGAAAGGTATGTTTTGTTTAGTTAAAAATTATAGTCTTATAGTTTGTAATTCACGACTGAAAGTTTATTAAGCCTTAGTGTTATGTACAGGGTGACTGGTAATTTGTGACCGATAATAAAATTATTCACGTGATGATAGTTTTATTACTACTTATTTTAATTTAATTTCGCCGCCCGTCGTTCGTCGCCTCATCAACTGTTTGCGGCGAAGCACCGCGCGACCGCGTTTTAAATTTTCACAGTTCTTTTGTGATGTTTGGTTATAGTAATAAAATAAAAGTGCAGAAAAATAGTTTCTTAGGGAAAGTGTATGTGGAAAATGTGCGAGAGCAAAGCTTCGGCGCTAATGCGTCGGCTCGACCGGAGTGATACCAAGGCTTCACCGAAAACCGGCGTGAAACAACCACAGCGTTGTGTTTCTCCGTGTGAGGGAGGTTACTGGAGGCCTAATCTTTCCCCTCCCCCAATCCCTCCTTAATCCTATGTAATCCCTAAAGGTCGGCAACTCGTAACTCCTCCGTGTGGACGTCCATGGGCGGCGCTGATTGCGTACCATTTGGTAATCCGTCTGCTCGTTTGCCGAACTATTACATAATAAAAAAGTTGTTTGTTATCCTGACTACAATCCCGCGTTTAAATATCGGTCACTTATCACCAGCCACTTAATTATAATCACTTAACTCAATAATTAATGTCAACAATAAACAGGGAACCTGGCAATTAAAAATTAAAAAAACACCATTTCTCATTTTTATAAACCGCTGAGTTACCTTAATTATCTGAAAATTGTCCAGAGCCAACCGCGAGCGTCAGCGTCGCCAGCAAGCTGAAGAAGAGGACTCCAACCATAATGCACCCGTGGACACATCCGCTGCACAAACTAGACATCCAGAAATCAATGAACTCAGGGCTTTCCTACAAGAGGTTCGTGTTCGACACTTTCTTTTTTATAACCAGAGATGAAGGGAAAGAAGTGTGCTACAATGATCGTAGTACGTAGCGTTGTTACTGTTCTGTTCATCAAGGAACAAGTTTTAGGTTTATCTCTGCGAATTATTTTCGGCTACAATTGGGTAGTTTCCTAGGTCAAAAATAAATTAATTCGACGTTTTAATACGATAAAATATTGAAAAATAACTATACTTTTATTCATCGATCGATCGATACACCAAGTTTTATATTTTTTTAGCTAATTTTTTAAAAATAAGTAAGCTATTTGACGCAAAAATGCTACGACGTCATAATTCAATGTTTCATACAATTTTCATAGAAAAGTATCGTTTTTGACATTTGGATAAAAGTATTGAATTTGACTAGTTGGAAACAACCGTATTGTGCACATAACTTAGGAGTCATGGTCTAGACACGAAAATCAATAGTCAATAACTGCTTGATAAAAATAAAGCTCGTAGTATAATAATGATACAGTTGGTTAAGATACCTAAGTGGAAATTAAATATTAAAGATTGTTGCTTTATTATTGACACCACACATAAATGAAGTCTTAGCATATTGTCGATGTGTTGAAAGTACCTTTATCATGTTCGAAACCTGACAAGTACCAATGTGACGTTTTCCCGGTTATATGTGCCTTTTATGATTGTTTTGATTTAGACATGACTCACATATGTCGAAGAAAAACATGATGAGGAACTTGGACTTATAATTTTCCAATCCGCCTCGAGGAAGCGTAGTGATCTATGCTCAAACTGTCTCCATTTGAGTAAGGGCTTTTAGTCAGCCAATGGTCACTTATACTGTTGATGATTGTAATGATGATTATGATGATGACATGTAGAATTGGTTGGTATATTGTGCAGTTGGTGGGCATGGAGTGCGGCGGCGGCAGCCCGGAGGAGATCAGCGCTCGGCTGCGCGAGTGGTGCCAGGCGCGCGCGCCCGACGACCATCTGCGCCGCGCGCTCGCCACCGCCGCCGACAACGCGCACCGCGCCCAGCGCAAGTACGACAAGGTCAGTCACCACGTGCTCTTACTGCATTGCTCATTCTTACTTCCCTTATTGTAGCTGCGTGTAAAATATTTATGTTCGGAACTTATTAAATATACGTAAAGAAATAAAATACATTGTTCATCATATCTCGATTATTTTATTATTGACATAATGTTGACACATTTTTAATTATAAGCTCACTGGCTTACCGGCCAGTAACTTAATTATTAAAGAGGTAATATACCACAGTTTCTCCCCCCTAGTTTTACACCAAGGAAGCAGCTAGGAGCTGGTCAATGTGCCTACGCCAGACAGAGCCGTCATCAGTTATTATTTTATAATGTAGTCTGCCTAAACGTTCTTGAACAGTACCGAAACGCCAGCGCTGCGTGGAGCCGATGCTATAATCACGAGCCTGGATGCGGTCGCCTGGACTGAACTCTTTGATAAGATGTGGTTGGTGTTTAACTGATGGCGGTCGGTGTTCCTCTCTCAAGAACATGGCATGTAGCGATGTGCGTACCTTCCTACCAAACATAAGTTCGTAGGGGGTCAGGCCGTTAGCGTCCGGCGTTCGACGAAGTCGTGTTTTAGTCGTGAGGAGCTTTTGATATATTGTACCTCCTTGATGTTGCTATTTGAACTATTTCTTTAAATGTGCGTTTATTTTGATCTTGTAAAATTTTTGTTCGTGCGTCATTATCTTTTAGGCCTCGTATGAATTGTAGGCAAAGGAAACTTTCTGATGTGTTTTTCTCACAATGTTGGCAATTAAATTCGCAGTTTATTGTTAATTTTTTTTAGTTCCGCTGTGAATTGAGCTATAGTTTCATCAGATTTTTGTATTCTTGATATGAATTTGTGTTGTAGGGCCCATTTGCTAGGTTTTGGATCTAAATATTCATTAAGTGTTTCGGTGATGAGATCAAATGACATGTTGATTGGTTCTTCCGGGTATACGATGTCGCAAAGCTTTTCATGAAGCTCTGGTGATAATGTAGATAGTATAATGTTGGTTTTTGTTTGATCTTTGGTAATATTATTTAATCGAAAGTAGCTTTCTAGTCTTTTCTTAAAGTTGTTGATACTTTCTGATGCTCCTAGTGGTTGAAATTGTATTTTAGGTATGCTCTCACGTATCTGTTGCTGGTCATGCAACTGTTGTTCAATATGATGTTGCGCTCGCTGTTGTTCTTGCTGTCGCTGATTTTGTTTCCTTTTTGTTGATAATTTCGTGATTATTGTGGTGTACAGCTCTTCGACATCGTATCTGTACTCCTGTTCTTGCTCGTAAGCGGTCTCGTCGTGCTGGTCGACTGTGTAGTCTTCGATCGTTAGCTGAAGCTCTCGTAGATACATAATTGCTGTATTAGGGCTCTCAGAGCGAGCCTCGATGTCCTCGTCAGACATCGACGCCCTCGATGTTACATATTTTTCTAATCTAGTGAGTAACCCTCTTTGGGTACTCCGCTATTTCTTTACCTTCTCCATCATGAATGTCGTCATCGTGGGTTTAAAAACTCATCGCCAATATTAAATATACGTAAAGAAATAAAATACATTGTTCATCATATCTCGATTATTTTATTATTGACATAATGTTGACACATTTTTCATTATAAGCTCACTGGCTTACCGGCCAGTAACTTAATTATTAAAGAGGTAATATACCACAGAACTCATAAGAAAGTTCAAGGTCAGTGTGCTATTAACTATTAACTATTAACAGTGTGCTTCAATGAGTGCGTCCTACCAGTGATGACATACGGAGCCGAGACGTGGACACTTACAGTGCGACTGATCCACCAATTTAAAGTCGCTCAGCGAGCTATGGAAAGGGCTATGCTTGGAGTCTCTCTGAAGGATCGTATTCGAAACGAGGTGATCCGACAGAGAACTAAGGTTATCGACATAGCCCAAAGGATTAGCAAACTTAAGTGGCAGTGGGCAGGTCACATCTGTCGAAGAACCGATGACCGATGGAGTAAACGTGTTCTAGAGTGGAGACCACGTCTAGGCAAACGTAGTGTAGGGCGCCCTCCAGCTAGGTGGACTGACGACATCCGCAGGGTGGCTGGCAGTGGTTGGATGAGAAGAGCTGAACATCGAGCTCAGTGGCGTGCAATTGGGGAGGCCTATGTCCAGCAGTGGACGACAACAGGCTGATGATGTGCTATTAACAGAGATGTGCTCGTTTTTTTTTAAATTGGCTTAGTCAACCGGTAATCTAAAGTAGTTGCAGCAACATTTCTACAACGTGGATATGACATAAGTGAGCGCAACATAAGAACTCCACTTGTAAGGTTAACAGACAATCTAAAAAGGTTGTAACGAGATCTAGGTTTCTGCTAACTGGCCTGTTTGGAATTTATTGAAGAATGTCTTATTTTTAGCAAATCAGTGTTTGTGATACAAGGAAGATGATGATTAACACCCGAAATTTTCATGATATTAAGTATAACCCTCTATCAGCGGTTGCTTTATGTTCCGTTCCAGATTTGAACCTAATTCTGTGCCAATTTCAAAATCCAATTAGCAGTTTTTAAGTAACAAATATCCGTCCATATAACATTAGTATGGTTGAGGTGGAATTTGTGTTTGAATGAATTGTGTATGTCCACAGGCGCGACGCGCGCTGCGCGAGTGGCGACGTACGCGTGCGCTGGTCCGCGCGCGCGAGGAGTGGTGGAGCGGCGCGCTGCGGGACGCGCACCGCGAGTACGGCGCCGCGCTCTCCGCGCTGCACGACCGCGTCGCGCGCCTCGAGGTGCTGCTACTGGTGAGTGTTGCCTACTGTCTGGTCCGCGCGCGCGAGGAGTGGTGGAGCGGCGCGCTGCGGGACGCGCACCGCGAGTACGGCGCCGCGCTCTCCGCGCTGCACGACCGCGTCGCGCGCCTCGAGGTGCTGCTACTGGTGAGTGTTGCCTACTGTCTGGTCCGCGCGCGCGAGGAGTGGTGGAGCGGCGCGCTGCGGGACGCGCACCGCGAGTACGGCGCCGCGCTCTCCGCGCTGCACGACCGCGTCGCGCGCCTCGAGGTGCTGCTACTGGTGAGTGTTGCCTACTGTCTGGTCCGCGCGCGCGAGGAGTGGTGGAGCGGCGCGCTGCGGGACGCGCACCGCGAGTACGGCGCCGCGCTCTCCGCGCTGCACGACCGCGTCGCGCGCCTCGAGGTGCTGCTACTGGTGAGTGTTGCCTACTGTCTGGTCCGCGCGCGCGAGGAGTGGTGGAGCGGCGCGCTGCGGGACGCGCACCGCGAGTACGGCGCCGCGCTCTCCGCGCTGCACGACCGCGTCGCGCGCCTCGAGGTGCTGCTACTGGTGAGTGTTGCCTACTGTCTGGTCCGCGCGCGCGAGGAGTGGTGGAGCGGCGCGCTGCGGGACGCGCACCGCGAGTACGGCGCCGCGCTCTCCGCGCTGCACGACCGCGTCGCGCGCCTCGAGGTGCTGCTACTGGTGAGTGTTGCCTACTGTCTGGTCCGCGCGCGCGAGGAGTGGTGGAGCGGCGCGCTGCGGGACGCGCACCGCGAGTACGGCGCCGCGCTCTCCGCGCTGCACGACCGCGTCGCGCGCCTCGAGGTGCTGCTACTGGTGAGTGTTGCCTACTGTCTGGTCCGCGCGCGCGAGGAGTGGTGGAGCGGCGCGCTGCGGGACGCGCACCGCGAGTACGGCGCCGCGCTCTCCGCGCTGCACGACCGCGTCGCGCGCCTCGAGGTGCTGCTACTGGTGAGTGTTGCCTACTGTCTGGTCCGCGCGCGCGAGGAGTGGTGGAGCGGCGCGCTGCGGGACGCGCACCGCGAGTACGGCGCCGCGCTCTCCGCGCTGCACGACCGCGTCGCGCGCCTCGAGGTGCTGCTACTGGTGAGTGTTGCCTACTGTCTGGTCCGCGCGCGCGAGGAGTGGTGGAGCGGCGCGCTGCGGGACGCGCACCGCGAGTACGGCGCCGCGCTCTCCGCGCTGCACGACCGCGTCGCGCGCCTCGAGGTGCTGCTACTGGTGAGTGTTGCCTACTGTCTGGTCCGCGCGCGCGAGGAGTGGTGGAGCGGCGCGCTGCGGGACGCGCACCGCGAGTACGGCGCCGCGCTCTCCGCGCTGCACGACCGCGTCGCGCGCCTCGAGGTGCTGCTACTGGTGAGTGTTGCCTACTGTCTGGTCCGCGCGCGCGAGGAGTGGTGGAGCGGCGCGCTGCGGGACGCGCACCGCGAGTACGGCGCCGCGCTCTCCGCGCTGCACGACCGCGTCGCGCGCCTCGAGGTGCTGCTACTGGTGAGTGTTGCCTACTGTCTGGTCCGCGCGCGCGAGGAGTGGTGGAGCGGCGCGCTGCGGGACGCGCACCGCGAGTACGGCGCCGCGCTCTCCGCGCTGCACGACCGCGTCGCGCGCCTCGAGGTGCTGCTACTGGTGAGTGTTGCCTACTGTCTGGTCCGCGCGCGCGAGGAGTGGTGGAGCGGCGCGCTGCGGGACGCGCACCGCGAGTACGGCGCCGCGCTCTCCGCGCTGCACGACCGCGTCGCGCGCCTCGAGGTGCTGCTACTGGTGAGACAGGCATAATGCACTCGTACACTACGCTCTACGATACCTCACTGCTTTGGTTCCATTCAACAACATTGGACTCTTTTCTTTAAAGTGTTACGCATTAGTAGCCCTAATTTCTTTGCATACAATTCAGCTTCGTACTTGTGAATGTCTAGGAGAGCTTCACTTCTCAAGTAATAAACGCAATTAATAAGTTGTTTTCAATAATTCTGCTTTAAAAACCAACAACTGTAATACTGTTTAATTTAAAATTATAGGAGACTCAAAAGAAAGCTGGTCTCCCGGTGATGTTGCCGCACGAACCCTCGGCTCGTCGCGAAACACCGCCCTTGCCTCGCCGACCTGATCCAGATCCGCTTTTGATCAACAGTAAGTTGTTTTTGATATGAATGGAATGTTCAATAATGATGTCATATTTAACGTATTTGTGAATTATATCTTCAACAAAGATTTTGTGTTGAACGCTTCGGTTTATTTTTGCAGATCCATGGAGTTCTGACAGTGATCTTTCCGATCTATCCCCTGTTGAGGACGAGTACGCTAAAGTGGATAAGTCGAGGCGATGTGAAGCGCCCGACCTTGGAGACGTTACTGAGCCTGCTGCGGACGAAGCTAAACCTGTGTCAGCTTCGCCTCACGTGTCACAAGTCCCGCCTCACGTTACGCAGGCCCCGCCCCACGTGACGCAGGCCCCACCCCACGTGACGCAGGCCCCACCCCACGTGACACAGGCTCCAGCTCTCGCGTCAGCTATCACCACTTCGCATGCTATTTATGCGTCTATCGGACCTCACACCAGTCATTCTTCTGCAACACTGAATAATCACCAGGATACTCAGTAAGTATTTTGGCAGGTTGCAGCGCTAGGCAGCAAATGTTCAATTCGAACCAGTACTTCTGGAGATCAACGTGTTCAACCAAACAAACTCTGGCTCCGGCGACACAATATTTCTCTTGGCCATTTCTCAATTAACATTTAAGGCTTTAATTAATAAGCCTTTAATTAGGATTTATATATGTTCTAGCCAAGTTCATTAAAATTACTTAAGTAGACAACCAAACTTCCTTAAAATTTTTAAATTAATGCTTGTTTAGGTCTACGTGTTCGGTGTTGGGTGGGGGCTCGGTGAGCAGCGTGGGCGGGTCGAGCGGGGCGGCGGGGCTCAGCCAATCGTCGCTGGGCGCGTCCCGCGAGCTGGACGCCGCCGTGCCGCGCGGTGCGTTGCTGGACACGTCGGCGCACCGCGCGCGCACCGAAATCGCGCGGCACCGACACGCCGCGCACTCGCCCCACTCACCGCACTCGCTCAGCAATGCTAGCTCCGTTAGTTTTTCTCATCTTCGTACTTAAAATAACCTTCATTAACATTACGGTACCACCCAAGTAGTGGAATAATTTATTTAAAAATAACGCAATTCATTCCTTTTTGATTAAAGAAAATACTGTATATCCATTTTTATGAAATCCAGTCCTCTAATCTAGTATTATTATTTTTTTTTTGGTACAGTACGACGGTCTCGACGACTCATATAACGACTCAGCGGACGAGTCGCTAAGCGAGTCTACCTCAGGTGGACCGCCTCATATTGGACAGGTAAGTTAAAATTATATTGCCTTCGTATCTTAGCACACTTATTTTTGCTTTCCATATTATTTAACTAAACAAGAAGTTGCTTCAGCAGCATCGCGACACCCGTCAGAGTTGTGGCAGTTCCGTAGGCAGCGCGACTGATGATGCCGTGTACTCCAGGGACCTCAGGCATCATCCTCTCACTGGTAAGACCTCCAAAGTTATTTGCTTTCTAACCATTGTATTGTCTCGCGCCGACTGTCGAACGTGGGTTGCAACAAGCGCACCGTACATTGGGTTATTGGTGAAGTTCCGCCTCATACAGTCGGTATTTGTTTTAACCAAGAATAGTAGTTAACAAACTGCGCAGTGAGCGAGACTGCGTGTGTCTGTGAGTGATAACCTCGTGGCTAGCCGGTGTCCGAGCTTGTGTGGAGTGGAGTGTGGTGTGTGCTAGGTGCCAGTGCGTCGCTGGCGGAGCAGCTCAAGCAGGTGCTGGCGGAGCGCGAGCGGCGTCTGGCGGCGGGCGCGGGGCCGGCCGCGGGGGGCGCGGGCCTGGGGGGCGCGGGCCTAGGGGGCGCGGGCTCGCCGCTGTCGCAGGCGTCGCCGCCCGTGCCGGACGCCGTGCAGCTCACCAACGAGCTGGTGGACGAGATCCGCCAAGCCGTCAGCGAGGCCAACGCCCGAGGTTTGTACACCTAACCGCACCACTCGCTGACACCATCTCACTCTCCTCGTTGCTTCTCTTCTATTTAGTCTCTGTTCTTTATGTTTGCCAATCGTGTACAGCTTTTTACTGTTTATGAGAAATAAAAATGATGCGATAAATAAAAGATCATTTTATTTATAAAATATAAGAACGAGTAGTTTCTGTAATGGAATCCCACAACCCCATAAAGTGTAGTTGCGTTAGGCTTGGACCTATATTTGAATTATAAAGAACAGATTGGTGGTGGTGGCAGTAAGAGTAAACAACAAATCTCGAAACTATAATTTTATGGATTAATTTTTATTTTACATTTAGTTTTCCGTTTCTGTCTTAAAATTTGTGTTGGTGTTGTTACGCATTATTTGAATAAGTGTTGTGGTGGTGGAGTTACAGTTAAGCTTTTGTTGTATTTATTGGCCTTATCAAATTGTTATTTTTGTAAGTTTTAACAATTATTTTACGATACATGTAAAGTAGGCTAAATTGGTAGATGTTATAAGTAGATGTATTTCAGTAGGCAGTAATCATTTGGAAGTTGTAAATATTAGGCTTATAAAAGTGTGACATTGTAGAAATGGTGGTCTCACTCTCATAACCGTACGAATGAACCAAAAGATGGTGATACCGTAGAGATCATTTACATGCTCATAACATTTTAACAGGAAAAGTAGTTTTTGTAGGTCAATTAATATAAAAAGATTTCCATTCTGAACTGATTGCCATGGTTTGTCTACTTTCACCCGCTTCTACAATAATTTCAGTTGGTTAATTGGCATATGATTTTTTGGATAAAAACGACGTTAACTAAATATTTGATCTGAATAGTTGGATCGTAGCGTTTTGAGAGCTTGACCTCGATTTTTGCATGTTGTACGTAGGTAGGAATGTGTATGTACGCGAGTTGACGTTGGGTTATGGTTATAGTAAAGAAAGCTCCGGCGTGTGTAGTCGGCGGCGAGGTGCCGTGGCAACCGCTGTCGGCCGCCGTGTCCGAGGCCAGCCTCACGCCGCCCCCACACGCACACGCACAGCCCGTCACGCACTGGACCAAGCAGCAGGTATGGCTACTACTATCACTAATCGATACTTCTTGTGATCGAAATTGGTGTTCCTCTTTTATTATTCGTAGTGGAGACTATTTACAGGACTCACAGCTGTTGTTTTCATTAGTTTACAAAGATTGGGAACAAGATATCCCTTACCTAATATCTGACACGATTCAGGAAAGTAGCAGTTAGAGGGTGTTATTATGACTGAACGCGCGATTGGAACGATAAAGTGGTAGTTAGAGGTATTATTATAATGTGTCATGTACCTCCCGCAGGTGTGGCAGTGGGTGTCAGGGCTAGGCGAGGGGTTGGAGCGCCACGCGGGCGCCTTCGCGGCGCGCGGCGTGGACGGAGCTCTACTGCTGGCGCTGAGCTCCGCGGACCTGAAACTGCTGGGGCTGGGCGGGGACGACCGCCGCCGCATGAAGCGACGCCTCAAGGACTTACGATCCGCGCACGAAAAACACCTCAAAGCCCTTAAGAAAGCCGAGAAAAAAGCCAAGAAGAAGTAAATCTATCACACGGCTCTGACATGCCATCACCAAAGAATGAGTCAGTTCACATGAACTTACCAACTCTTACTGCTGTGCAAAACAATTCGTATACATTACGTGTCATTTAATATGACAGAGATAGATGTTTGCACACTTTAAATTCTACGTTTTTTCGTGACTGCATTTCCTTTAAATTTTAAATATTTACGCTTCATGTGAACTGCCTCTGTTTCTCAACTATGTTTATTTTTCTATGGCAATTATTTATGGCATCTATAAGAATGAATGAAATATAATTATCTATAAAAGGTTGACCTAATTTTTGTATAAATTATCTAGAATTTCCGACTCGTATTCAACTTTCCTTTCTTGCCTTTTCTTTGTGTTTGGAAGTTCGAAAGCGTGTAGTTACATTCTAAGATATTATTAAAAAGTAGGTAATGATATGAAATATGTTCATGTGACTGAAGCTCGCGATGGTATTGGTGGTGGGTATAAAGCTGTGTCTGATAGCATACAGAGTGCCATCTGACCCATAGCTTAGAGACTAGTGACATTAGTGCTGCTTCAAACGAAGAAACGAATATTATTAATCGAAAATTAGACCTAAGTGAATGTGGGACAGGACAAGTAGAACTCATTTATCTAGACTGTCTATTGTAATCTATTTCCATACTATATTCGACAGCCGTTTTGTTGGTTTCTTCATCGTTCCTACAATTTTGTATTAATTGCGTCAGTTTTTCTGGAAGTTCGAGATCATGCTGTGGACTGTAGGAAAAAAATACTGGCTCAATCTAGTCAATAAGATGAATTAGATGTTCTAAAGTCATGAAATATAACAATTTTTTCTTAGAAATTTTGAAGTATTTAATATTAGAAAATAACTTTCTCGTATGTAATTATCACCAATATAATTATAATAATGAGATTGTAATGCAGTAATTTATTTACGTTCGTGGCCAATGCAATGCAAACTGATTTTGATAATCCTTGGCATTTATTTATAATTACGAATTATATTGCACAAAATGTACTTAGTGATACGGTGACTGATTATATTCTATTGCGTCGCCAGCGTTTAGTATATTTTAAATTGTATAGTGAAGTAACATTCATGAAACATATTGTGATCTCATGTCATGTAAGAGTACCGGATTATCTTCCCAGCCCATGTCATAATATTTATTCGAAACAGTTACTATCTTGTGAATTCTTATGAAATGCAATCTTCACGATTTATTATACATTCCAGTAAATTACTATTTCTACTTATATACATAGTTGTTTCCGTGTGGAGTTTTAATCGTTTAGATGAGCTTTATAGTTTTTCTTAGGCGACATACATTATGGTTTATCTAATCTAACAAGTAAGTGTTACTGTCTGTGTATTCATGTGCGTCATTTGGTTCCATGCCCCATCATGTAATCATGTAAATATAGTTTCGAGTAGATAATGTGGATACTACCAGAGTGAGCTTGAAATCATACTGTGTGACTGGATGTGCGTTACGCATTTAGAATATTTATTTCATTTAAGGTTTAATAATAAGTAGAGTCCATTGCCAAAATTGATCAGTACTTTTGTGTTATGTTGTTGTTTTTTTTTTAATTTACAGTTTCCTTTAATTATTTTAATATAATATTTATTTCGGGACCAAATTAATTTATTATGAACTTAATTATGTATTTGGGTGTGTGTTCAAGAGATTTTTTTATTTATAATTTAATAAACAAACCAAAGTCTACATCACATTGTTTTTTACTGTGTTCTTGTGTATCATGTACATTTTGTGAGAAGACAATGAAAATATAATCCTCCATTGTAGATGTGAGTTTTCTTGCTGCTACTATTAATGCATGAAATCTTATCCATAGAAAATATTGCATTGAGGACCCAAAATTCAAATGATAATAAATAAAATACAAATAGTATAACATCAAATATTAAATTTAATCATCAGGTTTAAGAGTCTTCTTAGTCTTTTTGTTACGTTTTCTTTTCTTGAATTTCTTTGCTGGTGGTGGTGTGACTTCTTCAGTATCTTCTTCATTATCATCTTTGTCATCGTCACCATAACTTATGGTGACAAAAGCTCCAGGTTTTCTCTTTGAAGGGGGAGGACTGACTTCCTCAGCCTCATCAGAATCCTCATTGTCCTCACTTGCTGCTTTCTCTTCTGTTTCTTCTTCATCAGACTTATCTTCCTTTTTAATAAGATGGCTTTGCCTATTCAAGGTGACACAAGTTACCCTACATGAAGCATTGCAGGAACAAAGCTCATCTAATCTAGAATCATCGACTGACCAGACCTTCAGCTCTCCTGAACTAGAAGCTGAATATAACATTTCATTTTCATAATGCAGTGATTTTACTCTCTGTTTGTGTGCTTTATAAGTGAGAGCTTGAGTATCAGATACAGTCAGAGTAATTATATTGCCATTTTCTAATCCTACATATATCCTCTCATCAGTCAACCACTGCACAGATGTTGGTTTTGAGTTGCAAGTTATTCGTTTTTCTACACCTGCTTTACTTATTGTCCATACATCAACAGTTTGTTGAGATACTAATGAAAATCTGTCTCCTCCTGGAGAAAACTTAATTTCTGTTGGTAATAAGACGCCTTTGCTAGCAAGGTTGATAGTGAATGCAGGACGACCTTTGATCAAATTCCATGTTCTAAGAGTTTTGTCACCACCTACACTAAGCGCAAGTTTATCTGATGGATGTACAGCAATAGCTGTGACTGGCTGACCTGAAACAAAAGTGAGTAAATAAATAATCATAAAAATATGGCCTATTGTTAAACTGATTACAAATAAATAGTACTACCTACCTCCGTGTGCTTTCTTCCATATCTTTTCTATTTGCCAGTTGCCTGTCCTGGTTACAATTATTGTACCGTCATCACTGCCAGTTAGTAGATGTGTACCGCCGTTAGTGAAAGCGACTGTATTTATAGTTCCATCGTGGTTCATTAAGACTGTGTGCTCTTTACGAGTTTTCATGTCGATAACTACTACTTTATCATCGGTACCACCCGATGCAAGGAATTTTCCTCCTATAGACATACATCGCACTGATGCCGTATGTGAATGAGTAGCAAACGTTTGTTTTAATTTCATTACCTGTAATACATATGCAAGAAATTTGTTAAATAGTTACTATCAAAATTTCACCATATTATGCACGATAAAGTTACTTACCGCATCTTCAGTACGTATAGAATAACCAAGTACGAAGCCTTCGTACGTGCCTACAATTAACTCGTCCATTATAACAAGGTATTTCTACTTATTCTACCACACGCAAATATTCAGTGTAGCATTAAGTAATTGTTATTTTGCTACGATCTAACCTCACAAGCATGCACGTTTTATTTTGAATCGTTATGTCACATTTGACTGTCATGTCACGTCACTGTCAAAATGTCAAAAAGGTAGTGGGAAATTATTTTCAATTCGAAAATCCATGGAAAACCGATAAAATATTCAGCAAAGAGCAGACCACTACGTTTATATTCAGTAACATAAGACATCACTACACATAGTGTATAATTTCGCCTCGTAAGCAAATACCCTAGTTTAATAAGCTATTTCGAAAGGTATTAAACGAAAAATCTAGTAAAACTCCGGTGATCGATCGTTGTGCTACATAGTATAAAATATTGATAATGCTAAATAAGTTGGGACACTAGAATAAGAGAATTATTCTGCAAAAGTTGGAACTCTTGCTTTTATTATGGCATCTAAGATTTACAAAATTAACAAGAAAGCTTTTTTGACTTTAGTTTAGTAACATCACTAGTTCGTTTTTATCCTACAAAAAAATTGACAGCGTCAAGAGAAAAACGAAAACCTCACTATTTCTATTTTTTGTGTAAGATATCGAATGGATAAATCTGTAATTAAGATTTAATTACTCAAATTCTTATTAATTCTTTAGCACGAACATATTATCATTCTGGTTAGTATGCGTGTACACGGTTTATGTGTCGTGTTTTAGTGACCGTCTGGCTATCGCTATCGATCTCTGTGGTTGGCATTTTTGCTAAATTGTTTGTTTGTTATCTCAAAGGATTCCCAAAAGAGGACATATTTCATGGATCATCAGATGGATTTGGCGGAGACGATGAAGAGTGTACTTGCAAAAAGCACTGGGACAACAAGTGGCGCGGCGAGTACGTCGAGTTCAGCAACACCGCACGGTGCGGAGGGCTATGTCACTGAGAAACTGTATATGCTACTACAACTCTACCTACAGAACAAGGGCTGGAGCCCCAGTATAGAACTGCTGCAATGTTTCAGTGACCTCAAAGAGTCATCCATGCTTCCCAGTGCTGCATATTTACAGTAAGTGCAACTATTATGTTTTATAAATAAATACCTATTATCGAATTCTTATGTGATTCCTATAGGAAGTAGCTACTATCAATGAACTGCTAGCAGACTAAAATAAATATATTGCATCTTCAATTCATTTTTAATATTAAAAATATTGTCTTATCATCATTTTTTTGGATTTAGTTATATTACCATGATTATTGATTTATACTTTAAAATATACCACATACTATAACATTATATCATTTCAGAATGATGGCATCCAGAGTAGGTTTAGATACACAAGGAAGACTGATTCTGCGTGAGAATGGGAAGATAATATTGCCATATGAACATTTTGCTAATGCTGTCATGTTGAAACATATGAATGGACCTCATGGTCTCCATCTAGGATTAGAAGCAACAGTTAGGGCTGTGAGTATCTTTAACAAATGCTTTTGTAGTTTATAAATATACTTATACGTTTTTATTGCCTAATAGGTGAATTATGTGCTTTTCAATAAAATTATAAATAAATAATTGCTTACACGGTGTTGCCAAGGACAGTGTTAATGAATTAAATATGATTTTAGGTTGTAGAGTCATACACAATAGGCAGAGAGCAGTTTGGAATGGAGAAGGAGTTCATAATAGAAGTAGTGCAGAATTGCCCCAACCCAGCTTGTCGGTATTATAAGAATCAACTGGAAATGACACAGAAGTCCATACAACAGCATCTGTCTCAACAACCCACATATATTCCAGGTTAATAATAGTTGTTTTATTTATTTACACTTTATTGTACACCATGCAATAGTTATAACAAAGCAATTTTATAGTATAAAATCATATAATTGCCTATAATAGTGGCAAGAATTTTAGGTTGGATCTTACAAGGTGATGTATTTTATCTTTCTAATTGCATTCATTATGATATTTATATTTTATTTATATTAAACAATGATTACCTGGGTAGGTACCTATTTGTAAATATGTTCAGTAATACATAATGTAAGTCCAGTACTTAATCAGTTAATAAATCATACAATTTCTGATTTACTTGAGCATAACTAAAAAAAGGATCTAATCACAAAACTTGAGTATGCTCATTTATCAGTTGAGTGTTTTAAGTAGATGTATTTGTGTATGACATTAGATGTTCCTATGTACAAGTGTGTGATGGGTTAATACATTCAATATGTAAATTGGCCTCGAAACTTATTAAAGCTTGATACAAAAAATTAATAAAACAATGAGAATAGGAACATGAGTAATTCAAATGATTCATACCTCAATTGGTTCTCATTAAAATTAACTTTAATGCCATGTGATGCATATGCATTGTTTGAAAATTGCTATTATTCTGGTCCAGTTTTTGAGATCAATTTATTTTTAGGACAGTGTCTTCTATTTCATGTCTTTAAAATTATTAATCTATACAAAATTTAACTTGTAACAATATTTTCTGACGATTAATGGTCATTGTGATTACATTGTCACAGGTTAGGTTTGATTACAGACTTACAGTCAATCTCAATAACTTGGCTAAATCTGGATTTGATGGCTTTAGTTAGAATTTTGCAAAATCTGTTCCACTCATGTCAAAATTCTGTTCTCATTATCCTACTACTGAAAATATCAGGGAACAAAATTGTGTTATTGAAATAACTTGTAAATAAACAATTTTAAATAAAGTTTTTCTAAAGGGGTTGATGGACATTTTCTGTTTATAAGTAATTAGATATTTGAATTTAAAAAATATTTTTTAATACTACAACAGCTGAGAGTAAGGCTGGCAGCTTTATGCCTTTTAAGAATAATAATTATTCTGAAATCAATGTCATGGTGCATTGTTATTTGTGTCAGATGCGGGTGCCACAAACCTGCCTGACAGCCAGGCGGTGGAGCGTCTGTTACGCAGCACTGCTTTAGCACAAGACTACCAGCTCCCTCTAGCACCACATCTCGCCGCTCTCAGTGAGTTGTTATGTAAAAATCACTTTTCCTTTTTTTTTGTTATACTATTTATTGATGATTTTGTATTCTTTTTTTTGTTTTACATTTTCTCTTCATCAATTTTGTATGGGTATACTTACGTACACTTAGATAAACTTTATCACGAGAGAATATTACGTTAAAATATTCATATTCACATATATTATGGTTTCAATTCTAGCTAGCCTAACAGGTGAGAAGTCAGATCGTCGCAGTCAGGACAAGTTGTCGCAACACCAGCAGATGTTACTGCAGCACCAGAACAGGTCGCTGGGCCACCAGTCCTCCATTGACAAGTACTCACACTCACAGCAGCGCTCCTCCAGCTCTTCACAAGCCAATCTTGAGACCAAGTCTAAGCATCACTACTCAGATGAACATAAGCTCACTGATTTTCTAAGGTAAGTTGTGTTACATTATCTATACTAATTTTATAAAGCTTAAGAGTTATTTAAGCTTAGCGGTAATCTCCGGAACTGCTGGTTGGAATTGAACAATTTTTTGAGCCCATTTTTCGCAAAAGGATATAGGCTACAAAACATCACGCTATTATCTGTAGAGCTGTGCAGCGGGTGAAACCGCGTGAAAGTAGCTAGTTAGAAAATGTGTAGTGATCAGTTACATAGAATAACATAGTGCATTCATCTTATCGCATAAACCGATGGTAGTACCATTATGGTATAAAAATACTTAATGTTTTGAAGCAGTTGTTGACAAAATATTTTTATCTCTTAGGGCAAATTTGGAGAGTCTGGAGTCTCTGTCTGGTGGGTCTGGGTCCGGGTCGCATGGTGAGCGCGGGGGCGCAGGGTCGGGCGCGAGCGGGGGCGGGGGCGCGGGCGGACAGGAGCGCGTCGTGCGCGCCTTCGCCGAGCTGGCGCGCAACCTGCAGCGCATGCGGCCCTGCGTGCGCCCCGCCATGTGCAAGCCCTACGGCAAGCAGAGCGAGCAACTGCAGAAGAGTAAGTCTCACATACTACTCATCTATAGCCCAACATTATTTATTGGTGGAAGTAATGGCATTCTTGCTGGTAGTGCTGAGATAATACAAAATTTTGTATATTATCATACAGTCCATTTTTTGATTTATTTATTTGAAAGTATAAACTACAAAATTACTTCCAAAATGAATTTTTATTTTTTATAATTTTTCAGTTTTGTTGGACACCATCCAGTTGGTTCAGTCGCTCCGCAGTTATTTGCCGCCACCACATATCCAGGTCACTTCATGGAAAAACGACGACAAGCTTCGGTAAGATCAGTTGCATTGACATTGAGCACCTGAAAGAACTTGGACCCAAAGACCTAAGTTCCCGCTAGCGCTCCAGGTTTCTCAGGTCAAGTTGAATTAACCTCTCGTCTGCCGGTATATGAGACACGATAGAAAACGCATTACGTCTCGCGTAGATCTGCGCTCATTAGAGAGTGCCTAAGATTATACTGATAAAAATGTTTGCGAAACTGAATATGAACAACTTTCTTTTATTTTTAAGTTTATTAATAATTGTGTTGTATATTCAGCTCCAACAACATGGAGGAGATGGAGAGCCGTAAGATAGTGAGCGGTAACTAGCCGCCGGCGGACAGCGACGCCGACGGCTGAGCTCCGCCCGCCGCGCTCCCCACCACACGGTTCGACACAAGGCCCTCTGGCCACGGCTACTCCAGCGCCACTGAGTAATTGTCCTCCGTTGTAAACACACACTGAAACAATGTTGAGTGCCTACTGCGAATTTTCTCTAAGAGAATGTGGAAACATCTTTAAGACGTTCGATGTTCCCATTGGCCAACCAATCAGAACGTTAAACGTGGTAAAGTTTTGATCGCGTTAACGTAAAGCAAACTCGCATTAGGCAAGTAACAGAATATACAATTTTTCGTTAAGTACCCGATACAAATTCATAGGGGATAAAAATGACAATGGCGGCTCTCATTTCCGAGTTTTTCGGGTGATTTTGTAGAATTAGTATTAGTAGGTTATCGCTAATATGAGAATATTGACGTTGATCGATTTGGAAGCATGGTTTTGACATCAAAAACTTACAGTAATTAAATCTAGTATTCCTGTGTGTGTATGCATTTTGGACAAATACTCAGGCCACCACGTCACGGTCATATAAGTTCGTATTTAATCAAGATCTGCATATATATTCGTAAAGGTAATTACTCTATAAAACTTGTCATTAGTTAGTGAGTAAGATTGAAATAGTTTATCCATTTAGTTTGGAATGTTGTACCTTGAGAGTGAAACCGTGTTGGACACTGCTGTCGTGCGTCGGTATTACGAATGTGTTACTCGACACTACGGCTAAGCTTACGCAGACTTGAGTAAAAGTGCGTGTACTTGTCGCCACTGTATCTTTAGCACAAAATTGTTTAAACATATATTTAGGACTACATGCGTTAGCCGTGTTTATTGCTTTATTTGTTGTTTTACTCAGAAGTTTCTTCTTATATTTTTCAAATATTGTAATTTCATATTATCTGTTGTACAAGTTCATACATTGATGTATGGTATTGCTTTCGTTGTTACTGAACGTATTTAATGGTTAAGGTATATTTTTTTTCTACCGTAATTTCAAGATTCGTCCTAGTTATTTTAAGTTTATTCTCAGTTATTATCGTAAGTGCATTATTTACACTGTGATAGAAGTGTAATAGGAATAGATCTGAGCGAAGTCTTGACATGAATGTTACTTAGGAAGGTATGTAGTAAGCGCGTACAGTGCGGCTCGTCAGTCGCCAGTACTACGCGCGTATAATGTAAGGTTTGATCGCCATGTCTTGTCTTGTGAGTGATAGGGAGGATAGTATCTTATTGAAGACTGCAATTTTTCACGTCTTAGCTGATGTTGCCTGTGGATGTATTAAATTAGGATCAGTAGGTTACGATGAGGCGCCTACTGTACACTGAGATACTCGTCGTCTCGTACAAAACGGAATTTTTATTGATAAGGTTTTAATAATAGGCGTAAATTATTATTGGTAGTTAGGCCGCGTTGTATCTTCCCTATTATGTTAATGTGTATGTGTCCCAGTGTACAGTAGAGTAAATAGAGAGGTCGAAGGAGCTTAGCTGAAGTTGACTTTGATCGAACTGTATCACTGATAGGAGTCACTATTTACTTCCATAACATCATCATGTGAAATAATGGACTACATAAGTTTAATGATTAGTGCAATAATTAGGCAAAGCCTACTTTAAATTTAAAGTTTTGTATCTTGTAGTGTAATTCTAAATTATAACATGAAGTTATCATGTTCGCATCACAACGGAGGTGTTTGTGAGGTTGTATTGTATAGCGTAAGTACTCGATACTGACATGGTCTCGGTTCATTGGATTGTTGTACGCATCACAATGTATTTGATTATTGTCAAATAACATTAATTGTAAGCAGCTTTTTGTAGGTAAGGGCGTTGTACACTTATGTTGTATTTCATATTCGTGTTAGCTGTTTATATTGAGAACTGTACTCAAACTAACTACTTTACATTACAATCGTTCGGTACGTTATCCAAATATTAGACGAGGCTACTACGTTTCATCGACAACTAACAATAACCTAGTATTATTAAGTTGACCGTCAAAATCTTACTCTCGATAAAGTATTATAAACTTCCAAAAGAATCTCTCTCTGTATTAGAATTGTAAGCTTTCTAGTCAAAAATGGATTTCATATTGCATTTTTATTGATGTAATCGGAACTTTCTTAAGGTATTGGAAATTATTACTTTCATTGTGACTTATTTGGTTTAAATGTTTGCTCTGTCATTGCAGCGGGTAACTGTATTATGGCCGTAATATTTTGATGATCTCACAACATGAATATAAATTATACATCATAACATTTTATAAACTTTTGCCTGAAGGACCGCGAGCTCGCTGCGATGACGGAGTCTGTTATCTGATTTTTTCATACTATTTTTAACTACGTTCTCTTAGTGATGGTTCATTCATACGTAAAAATAACCTAATTACATAGTTTTTGTATTGTATTGTAGACTTAACGGACACATTATTATCATCTTCATTCTAATCTTCATCGGAAAAGCATTTATTTGGTAATAGCTACCAGTAATTTTCATAACAGCGAATAACATTTGGCATCTGAATTCTGTGATAAATTTTTTATTCAATCAAAATGTAATTTTGACATTATAATGCAATACCAATCGGAAAATTAGTTACTATTATACGTTGTATGCATAGATTATGTTTCGGATTTGTTTAGGTTTATTGTTCAGCTGGTGATTGCTCGGTATAGACTGATTCAACTACACACTCGACACGCGGAGGTGTCTTCAACTACCCCCTAGTATTACTATTATTTCACCGATGTACAAGTCAATTCGGTTTAAGCAATCATCAGCTGTATTTATGTTATATCAAAATTGGCCTTGCCATGTAATTTATTATTTGTATTTGAAGATTATTTTATAATGTAAAGGTGGTAATATAGAAATGAAAAGCAGTGCTTAGAAATAAATAAATAATGATTAAAGTTTTATTTTATTTATACCTTATAAACATCCTATTGCATGAATAATATTAAGGAGAGCAATTCTCTACCGGAGTCTGTTTTCGCCCAAGAGTTATAACGTGGGTGTCTTCAAGGTCTGAGTGAATAAGTTGCTTATGGGTACGCAATTACGCATGCTACATCATAGGCGTGATAGTGGCCAAATGCCTGCTCGATACGAAATAAAAATATAAAAAAAGTTATTTGAGAAACTTAAACCTTTATAGCTGTTTTAAAATGCTGCAGAGAGCGCAAGATTCGTAACTACACGTCACGAGGTTTTTTGTACGTATCTACACTTTTCAAGCACTGGGACTCCCGTGCCAAGCAGGGACGGGCCACTAGTAAATAAAACTGCAAATGATAGGAGATAAATTATATTATTTTAAACATTTAATATTACACCAATAATAACTTGGACAAGTAGGATAAAGTAACCAAATGATGTTGTGGAATGGTGATGAAAGACATAGCCACGAGAATACTATAGTTAAGATGATATATCATGATTATTTGAAAGATATCTTAAATCAGCGATAGACTTAAAACTACGGAAACATTGAACATTGTGAAATGGATGAATATAAAATATAAACTATACATGTGGAATGTACTATGTAAACACACATTTGGCACAATTTTTAAGTACACGATAAGTACAATAATAGTATAACATTTTATAAATATCGAAAATATCAAATTAATATGTCCCCAAATTCTCAAACCACACTTCATGAGTATTTATGTTACGCTCGTCACAGTGTTCACTTTACAGCATAAGACAGCTATATAGGCAACATCTGCAGTGCTGCATCTGCTGTGCAGTGTTTATGTTAAATATTTAAGTAAATACAAAACTGCCATTATCGATATTTTTCTACAATGATTAACAGTCAATCAGACTGTATAACACTGTCCTTAGCAGATGCTGATTTAGAATATTTAAGTAAAAACATTAGAATTAGAAATATATTATTATTGATATTTTTCCTAAAATGATTAACAGTCAATCAGATTGTATAACATTGTCCTTATTTCAGAAGCCAACTACAATTTGTCCGTCTCAATCTAATAAAAAAGTACGCTGTTGTATTTTATTAAGTAGGTACAAAGCATTTTTGAAACAGAATGAACGACTGTAACCTTAGCAGATGCTACATCCAATAAATAGGCCTTCTCTATGATTTAAAACTACATACGCTCATAATTCGGGGATTCTATAAGAATATCTCTGAAAATACATAATTATACTATAATGAGTATTATTTAATGAATTAAGCATTTACAACTATGATAAATATGCCGTAGAAAAACGTACAAAACACCTAATTCTTATATTCATTAATGATGATATCGCGTAGGTACATAATATTGATTTAACGACTAATGATACTGCAAAACTATCGATGTTCGGACTCCAACCAAAGCCAATTTCAAGATATGCCAAGATGTGCAAAGCTGACAAAAAGATAGGTTCTTCAATACCTAAGACCTGTTTCACAACGTCTGAACAACTGCTATGCAGGTACCAGATAAGTCTGTATATGCATCACAACATATAATATTTTTTGAGAAGTTAATCAGTACAGTTATAGTGAAAAGCTGCAACTGCATTTTACAAATACTAGTCTAAAATTTTTTTATGGTACCTTGACTTATTAATTTGTAGCATAGAATCTTAAGTAATTAATGTCAGGTTTTTAGATCCTGGAACTTGTAAAGAAAGAAGATTTTCACATTTTTAGACCCTAAACCGTACATGTGGCAAGTAACGAAATTCTAGTGGTTGTTTAAAAGACATCTTGTCTCCTGTTTGCTTTGGTAAAGTCCTCAATGTGCGTAAACAGCAAAATACAACCTTACATCTTATTTTTGTACAGATTATTCGATGAATGAATTCACTACCTTTCGTTTTGTTGGAAATGGAGAACTTTCAAACATCTACGAAACACGAAGGTTCATAAGAAAATTCAAATTTGGAACCTCGTGATTGAGATCCCATTGGACGACGATTTTTTACAACTTACCGTATAAATGTAGTTAAATACATTTTTAAACATACAGCATATGAGTCTTATCTTAAAATTGATGAATCGCAACTCAAATTAATTTGATATGTAGGAACATTATATTGCCAACGAATAAGCAAATTATAGGATATACATAATAAAAATAACAATAAATTGACAACATGAAACGTAAATGCGTTCAACTATTTGACGCGTGTTGCGGATATGTTGAAATGATTTCATGTGTCAATAGAATACGAACTACACTAGGAATGTAATTATGTAAGTAATCTTATGCACCCTCCAGTAACAACTAAGCGAGCTCCCTCCCCTACACATCTACGTTCGCATCTTCAGACCTATAGGCCCACTAACATTTTCAAATTCTTTGGCCAGCCATCGCAGTGTGCAGAAAAGCAATGGTGCTTTGGTATTCGTTATCCTGTATGAGTTTAGTTAATGCCAAGCCGTTCATATGCTGAATGGATAACCACATCTAGAGTTTTGTTAGTTCGACAATTTTATATAGCACCTTATCAAATGTATGTATATTAAAATTGATGTTTTTGCTTTGCAAAAGCTGTACTGGCTTGCGAGAAAGTCACCTTAGCAAAGTAGGACGAAATTGAAACTTCTTAATCTAACCAACCTTACAGTAAACCCGTATGTGCAAGCGCATACAGTATACGATACTGATTATTTTACATTTATAATGTAAGTACAAAAATTCTAATACCATGGTTAAGTTTCCAAAAGTCTGTTTTAATACAAATTCTTATAAAATGTAAGTATATTATTTATAATAAGTAGTACATTTTGTTTCCAATTTCAGAAACGTATACTGCACTATCGCGTTACGCACTAACATTCAAAAGATTGTTTTAAAAACTTCTTTATAAATGAAAAATGTTACTTAATATTTTACGAGGTTTAAGACGCTTGAGTATAATATTCGTTGTTGTTTAAGTGGTGGGGTCTACTGCGGTAGGTTTGAACACGTACACGGAATCGTCGAGCCAATAGTAAGCCTGAGCAAAGTCTCCTTCGCAGAGATAAGGGGCTCGTGTCCAGGACACCAGCTCGAAGCCAGCCTCCTCACGCATGAATTTCACGAAGGCAGCCAGCTGATCTTCGAAGTAAGCTCCTTCAATCGGCAGACGTTCTTCAGGTTTATGATCCGACGTAACTAGAACCAGAATACAAACTTCATGTAATAATTATTTGCATGTAGATCTTTTCTTATCCAAATTTTTGTCAAATACGGATGAGCATTCGAAAACTAAAAAAAGGTTTTATGAGATGAACTCTGTAGCGATAGTTTCAGTGTTTAGCGGTAAAGTGTTGTGATTCATTGGCCTTACCTTCCACATATGGCTTGTACGGCAGGACCAGCGCTAACATGAGTACTCCACCGGGCGCCAGCGCGTCCCTAGCTTGCTTCAGCATGGTCTTCGGCTTGCTGCACCGGTCCAAAAGGTTCAGCATGCAAATACAGTCGAACTGGCGGTAGTGGTGCCATTTCTCCGTATCCAGGAGTCTGGAATTCAATGAAACGGTATGGTTCCATCAACTTCTATAAATTTGTTTCATTATGGTTCTACAAGGTGTTGGATCTACAAGGTGTTTGTATTTTCCGAGGCTATAAAGTGTGAAAACTTCATATGAGATAGAGTTAATGCTACATCTTTAATATAATCAACGATAATTGTTAGCTGCACCGTAATTAGAATGTGACTGGTGAGTACGAGGTCTAAAAAGTGATTGGAGTAAGGCATTGAGTGCTTCTTTTTTAAACTCTCTGTGATTTGTAATGATCATTTCCATATGCTGGTGAATTATGGTTGTGAATACATTTTACTAACTTCTATACTCGTATATCGATATAGTGTTTCTATACAAACTTACTTGTATCCCTTCTCAGCTAATGTCTTTCTCATGCTGGCTGATATTTCAGTGGCGTAGTTGTGCGGGTAGATATGTGCGAAACGTCGGCTGACCTCACCGTCTCCCGCGCCGACATCGACTAATGCGCCCGCGCCGATGCCGTGCCCCGTAGTGCGGAGCAGTGCACGCGCCTGCGCCTCGGACAGAACGAACATAGAGCCACGACCCAACCATCTGTAACAACACAATACATAATCAGACAGAGTTATACTGATCAGTCTGATCACTGGTAAAGTGGAAGAAAAGAGACCTAGAGGCAGAAGTACGATACGTTGGACGGATCAGATTCGCACCACTCTCAACACTACAATACACGATGGTCTCAACTCAGCGGCAGATAGAAATAGTTGGCGGAGAGTAATACGCAATAGCTTTCACGAGGTGGTCACGACCCTCAGCACTGAGGATACCGTCGCGAGAAGGAGACACAGTTAATCAGTCATTTAGTATACTTAGATTTTGATTTCTCAATGAAGGTTTACCACCCTGCGAAATTCAAGCTTACAACATAAGGACAGTTTGCTGTAGTGTATGTGGTTGATTGGCTTGACGGTGAAGGAGTAACACAAATTGCAATGCAAACGCGTAACATGTGCGCGGGGCAACCTGACATTTTCTAACTTGAACAGTGTTTTTTAGTTTGTGGGGTCTTGCTTTAGCTGTCGTTGTTTTGGCAATGACGATCTGGTTCCGTTATTAGCAACCGAGTCAGCACGACTCCTGTAATTATTCCTGATTTTTTTTACATTCACGGACCTAGGAGGTATTATTTTCAGTTAAATAGTACATCATGATGAATACAGGGTCCGAGAAAATTGCTTCAAAGAACAGGGTGTGTAACGTTCCACCGCCTGGAGTGAACATGCGATGGTATAACAGCCACGATTCAATGGAACTATTAATTTTCTTATCTAACTTAATTGTCCAAATAACAAAGTTCGTCCGATGTTTGAACCTTCTAATTTAAACGTGGATAGCTTCCTTGAAAGCGATTTGTGCGCTAGTCGCCGAGCTAGGCAACAATAGCGCAATTATCGAGTGGGTACTGGCGTGGATCGTGTGGTGGTGGTGGAAGGTGTATCGGCGGTGCACGGTGCCGGTGTGCCGGACCGCAATTACCGGGATCAAGTACAAAGCGCGCTGCGGGCTACGGCGTGTGGCGGCGCGGCGCTGCCCGCTCGCCGGCAAATTGTGCGCCTGCGGCTCCGCGACCCCGCGACGTCTTCATCGCGCCCCGGGCACCAACACAAGTGGATAATGAGTAGTAAATCCCGCTCTCATTAGCTGAGACCGAGCGACGCTCCGATCGATACGAATTCGTCTGCGCCGAGTAAAGGGATAATCGGCGCTGGGCTCGAGCTCTGTTATTAGCCGTAGTACCATATATCACGTACGGCATTATCCGCGGCCTCCGGCGTGCGCGCCGCAATTACAGCCGCCCGAACAGCGCACACCGTTCAGTCACAATGCCCTATTAGGAAAGCCTTAGAGGTAGTGTTGCCTAAGTCTGAAACTGGAGTACCTTTCCGAGATGGTCGTCTGCATCTTCGCAGCGAACAAGTAGGGAACATGTAGTTAAGTCGCGTTACACGACAGGTATAGTTTGATACATATGTATTGCGGAGCGTCGTCGTCGGTCGCTGGCAGCTCGTTTGCGGAGGCGCGCGGTGCCGATTGATTGCTTTATTGTCTGGTCGGAGGCTGGCGCTGCGAGCGACGCGCAATACATGATACATGAAGCGGCCGCGCGTCCGCAACTAATGAGCACCGGCACCGCGTAATTGTCACCGGCCGCCGCGTAAACTCGCCAGATTCCACGCTTGATGTGACAACACACGATTGAGTCAACACGCAAAAAGATCGCGGGAATATGACGGCGGTCGTTACCTGTGTTGTCGGCAGAACCAAATGATTGATTTATTAGGATTATAATGAGCATAAAGACCGTTGTCGAGGTGACACTTCAGCCTCCGCTTGTGGAATAAAAACTTTGAAAATGAGTAGGTACAGAGTAGGGCATATCATTGTCAAGTTGGTGGGTAGGTGTAGGTAGTTCGAGGTGCTGAGGTAATAGGTAACAGAAACCACACGGAAGAGCGCGATCTGTCGACTTGTGTGGAAATAGTGCGGCGCAGGGTGACGTGTAAATCGAGTAGAGCAGTAGGTAGGTGGATGGGCGCGCGGGTAGATATCTATTTCAATAGAATGCGGTGGCTTGCAACAAGGAATCCGATGCGGTTATCGACGACGGAGGTGAGAGATGTGTCGCCGGCGGGGCAGGGGCGCGGGTGGCGCTCGTATCGCGATTGCATCGGAGAGCAAACAAGCGGGCGCGACACCCCGCCGGGGGCGCTCAAATCATATTACCCCCGGCCTCACACCCGCGCCGCGCCAGCGCCACACACGTCATAAGAGTGTGCGTCGCTATGGCGACGGCCCGGGCCGTGCATGATATTAGTACGTGTGCGGCTCATCTCCGGCCGTTTAAACTTAACGCGCCACCGCCTCGCGCGGGAAATTAAAACCGGCTGCGGACCGGAAGGAGCAATCGACCCTCGCGCTGTCGTACCGTACGGCTCACGGCGGCCGCCACTCACACCGCACACCTCGTGTCGCTCTACCGCTTCATTTACACCGCGGTACATGAGAACATGATACTCTGTACAACATATACCTACCCTAACAGTTCTTAGGAGCGAGCTCTGGAAACATACACGTGTTCACATTACAGGATACAAAAATCTGATACTTGTGTAATTCCAAAGTATCTTGTGTAGACTACTTAATACAAAACTTGTAGCATCATTATAACAGAATTAAAAATTATCAATATTCAGTTACAAAACAACAAGGTTTTTATTTCTATTTCTCCATAGTCCTATTCCAAATTAATTAGCCAACACCTTTTATCACGAAACTTATTTAAAACAACATAACGTTTTATGTATCCGTCGTAAACGTACGCTAGATACACATTAAAATAGAACGTAGATGGGAGGCAGCTCCCCCTATGTAGATACCTACACATTTGCTTTACTCAAAGACATTGTCGCTTTCAGGCACCTCATTAGAGCGCGTCCCATGTGAGCCTACCCTCACCCGCCGGCTCCCCCCCCACACACACATGCACACACTTTCCAGCAATTCTTTCTCTCAGCTCGCAAACTTGGACGGATAATTACACTTAGATAAGAACCCGTCCTTGTTATGTGTTTTACGATAGCACTGTTTTATGTGAAACGAATTATATTATGTAATGCGATAGAAATTAACTTGGGCAACAGTAAAACCTTTGTAGCTTTAGGATTTTTGTATGATGGAAGTAAAAGTCGGGCAGACTGCGAGACTCGACTACGAAGTAGTAATGTGAGTGGAGTTTGATTGTCATTAAATGATCCGTCGACTGCCGTGGTTTATTGGGCGGTTACAGGTAGATTGGTCGCGGCACGCCACTACAACGGCCGCGGTTACTGCCTGGCAGGCCAGCCAAATATACACATGATAATTCCAAAAGTTTCCGCCTGACATCAGGCCGCAATAAAAATCAAGTTCTATGGCATACAATCGAACGTCGGCCGAACGTTACGCGCGGTGTCATAACCCCGAACAGCACTCAAGCTGCAATAAACTATAAAAAGTGGATAGTAAAATGTATAAACAATGAGAGCACGGCTAAAACGTTTTAGTGTTAAGAGTGGGCCCATAAACCGTTGACACGCACCCGTAAAATATTAACGATACCTACAAGAAAAATGACGACTATCAATGTAGGTACCGATTTTCGGTCGCGAGGACGCGCTACAAATAATGGCGGTACCGAATTTATACGCGGACCCGAATTGCCCCGATTGAATATTTTACCAGGCCACGAATGCGTCCAACGATATTTTTCTATTTCGACGCCCATTTTTACTATCAATCGCTTAGTTTCCCCCTAATATTATTCGTACTGTGTCGTGTCTGATTCTGCTTTGAATATCACACGGACTCTTGACAATATTAACGATCTATTAGAAACAATAACCTTCGAATTTAAATGGCACTGAAATTATGTAAAATACGTGTTGGCAGGTAACGTTATTTTCCATATTGGTTATTGTATTTCAGAATGTGTATTTGTATTTTGTTTACTTGAAGATATGCATGTTTGTGAGGCAGTTGAATGTTTATATCTTTAGCGTTTCGGAAACACAATAACCTTTAAAAGGTGTAAAGGCGTGGGCTCAATTCGAGTCCCAGTCAGGGTTTAAAATAACTCCTCGGAGGCGAATGGTTTATTGCTTATTGAGTAGCTCTGACGAAACGCGCCTCCGACGATAAAACATGGCCAGAGTGGAATCTCAGTCAATATCACAATATACGCGACGACATTGAAATTATCGCTCGGTGGGAGGCGATGCCGGCCGGCGAGGTGGACCTAACTAAAACAAAATAAGAATAGTTGGAAACAATGAGCATTGTCGCGATGTCTGTGCGTGTGCGGCGCGCGGCGTGGCGGTACAGCGGCGGCGCGGGCGCAGCGGGCGCGTGGCGAGCGGCGCGGTGCGGGCGACGGCACCTCGTTAGCGGGCCGCGCGCCATTGGCCGCCGCGCGGTGGGCGGGGCGCGCGACAAACTGCGCGCACGCAAATAGCGCACCCGCACACAAATTAAAACAATAAAATAAAAGTAATAAAACAAAGTGAACCCCGAAGAGTATCCACAATCGCGAGCCTTAATGGCCGAGCGGAGGCGGCCGCCGCAGCCTCTCGATTTATTGAGTAAGGTGCTTCTCTCCTCGACCTCAAGCACACGACAGAATCGGTAAACGTGATATAATTATGTATAAGTTTTATTTTACTATTAAATTATTCTACACTTGCCAACAAGAAATAATATCCGAAGAAAATATCCATAGTCTCATAAGATGTAAAACCATAATAGTAGTAAGTAGGTAAGTAGTAAAAACAAAAAAAAATCCTTGCAGTGATGACAAAGTTCTTCAAGTAGAAATAGATCCAGACCCACCGTACCAATCTATCTACTTACCTACCAATCCCTACCGGGTATCAAGCTGTTAATCATTGCCGAAAAATATTACCTACCTATGAGACTAAGTATGCCACACCTATAGGAAGAACCAAACAAGCACGAGATTAATAATTTGCCCATGTTACAACGTTAATTAATCATGATTTTATGAGTAAATAAAATGCTACTAGTAGGTGCCTATAATCATTCAAACTTTCATAATCAGGTGTATTGTTTAATCGTCTATGTATTACGCACCTACGTACGTTATTTGCTGTGTTTTACCAGAATTAATAACTCTCTAAAACCAAATCCAGGCTTAGGTAAGAACAAATCACTGAAACAGAGATCGCCAACATTTTATTATAGATATTGCATTTGCGTTGAACCATCAACTCCGCAGGCTTTCAATGAGGAAATTCCTACTGCGCTCGGGTTCCAGTAACGAATGTCGTCTCATTTACTAATGTGTCACATGCAGCCGGCGTTGTTTCAGGAAGGAGTGCGAGGGGGTGAGGTGAGGTGGCCGGGTCGGAGGGGGCAGGCGGGTGGCTGCCCGGGGGTGGGAGGGATGACCAATGGCGTCGCACCGAGCCGCACCGACGATGCAACGTTAATTACACTATCATGATCAAGTGTGTCTCTGATAGCGTCTCTACGTTACACGGCAAACTTTCAAGTACCTACTGTCTGCGTATCTCTCTTAGTGCAATGTGCACTACCTAGGTATTTGTAGGAAGTTACTACTTATGTGCTTGTCGAGCAATATTTCGATGTTGCGATCGTAAGGTCCACTCACGCTATCCGTGAGTCACTTTATAAGTAAAGTTTGTAAGTATCACTTTTGTAAGTAAACTAGATTACGATAACGATTAGAAGCGGGATGATATCATTGGGTTTAAAAAGATATAACATTAATTGCTAGCTTGCACTGTAGTCAGGCAGTCCAATAAAAATTGATGAATACTGTAAACAACATCTCTTTTAGTATTTTCGAATAAAAATATTACACCGGTCATTCACAAAAGGACAGCCCTGAAACCACTCGCCAACGCAAGCGCCAGGTGTATTGGTGGTCGCGGGAATTGGCAGACCTGCGCGGTGAGTGCACCGCAGCGCGACGCCGATACACCAGGCACCGCAGGCTCCGTCTCCGCCCTCTGGACGCTGAAACCAGAGAGGCGGAGCTCTACGAGGAGTACAGGGCGGCGAAGGCCACCCTCAGGGTGGAGATCCGGCGGGCCAAAGATCGGGCCCGCGAGGAGATGTTGGAGACTCTGAACAGAGACCCGTGGGGACGCCCCTACCGGATGGTGCGTGATAAGCTCCGCACCTGGGCGCCCCCACTGACTCAGAGTCTCCGGCCGGAGGTCGTGGACGAAGTGGTTGGGGCGCTATTCCCCCGACCACAGACGGGTTACACGCCTCCGGCTATGCCCCCGCCCCCTGCGGTGCCCAATGCGGGCTACATCGACGACGAAGACGAATCCGCTCCGGAAGTGACCGAGGTAGATTTGAGAGTGGCGGTGCGCCGGCTGAGCGGCAAGAATACCGCCCCAGGACCTGACGGGCTGCATGCCAAGGTCTGGGTCCTGGCGTCGGAGGCTCTCAGGCCTCGACTACTTGGTCTGTTCAGCGCATGTTTGGAGAGAGGCCAGTTTCCGCTGTCGTGGAAGACGGGTAAACTGGTCCTCGTGAAGAAGCCGGGGCGTCCTGCGGACTCCCCGTCCGCGTACCGGCCCATTGTGCTGCTCGACGAGGTGGGAAAGCTGTTCGAGAGGATAATCTCAGACCGCCTCGTCGGGCACCTGTCTGGAAGGGGGCCGGATTTAGCGGACGGCCAGTTCGGCTTCCGAAGAGGGCGCTCCACGGTGGACGCCATCATGCGCGTGAGGGACCTCACGACGGGGACAGCGTTGGCCGGGAGGCGAGTCGTCGTGGCGGTGTCTCTGGACATCGCCAACGCCTTTAACTCGCTCCCCTGGAGCTGCATTTTGGAGGCACTCCGGTATCACCGGGTGCCTGCCTATCTCCGTCGTGTAGTCGAGGCTTACTTGACGGACAGATGCGTCATCTACCCCGGTCACCGGGGCGTGTGGAATCGGCGAGAGGTGTCGCGCGGTGTCCCACAGGGATCGGTCCTGGGACCTCTCCTGTGGAACATCGGGTACGATTGGGTGCTACGCACCGACCTCCCGAGCGGCGTCAGCATTGTCTGCTATGCTGACGACACGCTGGTGCTGGCGAACGGGAGGTCGCATCAGGCGGCGGCCGACCTGATGTCACAAGCGGTTGCGACAGTCGTTGCAAGGATCCGGCAGTTGGGACTCGAGGTGGCGCTCCACAAGTCCGAGGCCATGTGCTTCTATGGCCGTCGGAGCGCGCCACCTCCAGGTGGGTCCCAAGTAACGGCAGGAGGAGTTACCATCGGCGTCGAGTCGGCGATGAAGTACCTGGGTCTCGTCCTCGACAGCCGATGGAACTTCACGGAGCATTTTCGTCGTTTGGCCCCTAAGTTGGAACGGTCTGGGGCCGCGCTCAAGCGGCTCCTTCCCAACCTCGGGGGGCCAAACGCCTCCTGCCGGAGGTTGTATATGGGGATTGTGCGATCCATGGCCCTCTACGGTGCCCCTGT